GAACTGTCATCTGCTTTTGCGACCTCAAGTGCTGTCCGTCAAGGCTGTCAACTTTCTCCATTTTTGTTTAACTTCATCATAGACTTATTGACGGAAATAACATTCTTGTCTACTGAATCCTCGGGTATTGATCTCCTTCCGGGAGGTTCACTTATCGACTTAGAATACGCAGATGATATAGTCCTGCTTGATGAAAACGGTGATAAAATGCAGTCTTTTGGTAACACTAAGCAACAATGCCAGAATGTTTGGAATGCGCTTTTCTCCCTCTAAATGCAAGTTGTTGCTTTAGGACTGGTCTGCGTCAACACCTGAACTAAGGATAGGAAGTGAAGTAGTCGAACGCGTTGACAACTTCACTTATCTTGGAAGTCTGATCAGCCCTAATGGGTTGGTGTCTGACGAAATCTTAGCACGGATTCGAAAAGCTCGTTTGGCTTTTGCCAACTTACGTCACCTATGGCGAAGGCGAGATATCCGTCTATCAATAAAAGGACGAGTATACTGAGCGGCAGTCCGTTCTGTTTTAATTTACGGCAGCGAAACATGGCCATTAAGAGTAGAAGACACTCGTAAGCTACTAGTATTTGACCACAGATTCCTTAGAAATATTGCTGGCGCCTGCTGGGATCACTAATTCTTTCTTCCTGTACTATATCCTTATTGCAATCTTTCTTTTATATATTACCACCTCTGAATTAACTACTTTTATGAATCCGGTGCCCATGTTGTTGTGTTAATGATGTATGGAAACTTGGACCGATGCATATATGTGCCTGGTCCTAAGTTGTAGCTGACTGACTGACTATTCACAAGATCATATTGAGATAATCAATTGAGTATAGCTTTTAATATAAACCTTTGAAATGATTCATAAAAGATAGCTTACTATACAATAATAATAATAATAATTTCGAACATACATTTTCTCGTGATAACAGAATTCATAAAATATACTTATCAATTTAAAAAATTATACTTTTATACTACTTGTCTAAAAGATTAGATGCTTACTCTTTCAGTCAATTATGATATTTTGTGTTGTGCTAAACAAAGATTAAATCCTCTAGTTTAGAAAATAAAACATCCCTAAGACCAGTTTACTGTCATATAAAATTAATTCTTGACTGTGACTTTATTAACGAGGCATTTCGTATATCTTGCTCACTTAAATCATTATTAGATAATTATACAATTTATAAAATGCTTTTATCTTTTCTAATAAACTGTTCCCCATCAATTTTCTTGAATCTTTATTTATATTTGGAAGATAAAATTTACTGTTTTTCATGGAAAATATCTAATTAGAAAATTAGTTTAATCATGAAATTTAATATTTTAGGTCATTGAATTCAAAAATCATCAACCAACTTTTTATGTGTTCATGGTCAATAAAAGGAATATCTGTATCGAACTACCCTACTGTGAAAAAAAGACAAATTATTACAGCACTGTTGCTATCTATGAACATTCAAAATATTTTGCATTTATATGTTTCAAATTCATTATCACTAGTGACTAGATTCATCAAGGAATTCCCGGAGTTCTAAGGAGAAGCCTTGACTAGTGGAGCTAATCCGTGTCGAGTAGAGACCGGTATCTACCTCAGTACAATGGAACACGTCCGTGCAACTTCGTGAACTGGTTGAAGCTTAACAGTAACGCCGTTGAATGCCGGGTCAGTGGTCAAGTAGGTTAAGCGTTCGCTCGCGAGCCTGAGGGCCCTGAGTTCGAATCTCACGAGCGGATGCGCACTACTGAGGAGTCCCACAATAGGACGAAACGGTCGTCTAGTGCTTACAGGTTTTTCACGGTCGTCTAGCTTCAATTGACCCATGATACCGACAAATGATATTTTCATTAAATTTGCAATAAATTCATTACAATAATGGTAATAATATTTCATATCCATTCAAACAGTTTGAACTTATCTTTTTTTATCATAATCTAATCTTCTTTTCAAAATTTAGTTTGGAATTATTTACTAAAGTTTGATTAGTTCCAGTAATTATTATTGTGTCGATAATGCGATGAGTAGATGAAAGTTATCAAAATTATGTGATACATTTGCGCAATACATTTCGAACAATCTGATCACACATATCAACCTTTGTTTTATATGTATTCATGCATTAAAAAGTAATGAAATGAATTAGAACAATAGTAGTACATTTTTTCATCTTGGAAAGGTTCGGAAAAAACATTTCAACAGAAAACATGAATTGATTTTATTCCACTAGGTTCTTACAACTTGTAATTTTAATTAAAATCCCAATTATATAAGAGGTTGTAAACACTTACACAGATGGATTTACTTGGAAATTGTTTTGAATATGCAACATTATAAATTATAATTTTTAATTCTTATTATCTTACATAATCTGCCTGCCAAAGCAGCTACATTGGCCCAACAAAAAGGAGGGCCAAAAACCTCCAGAACAAGAAAAAAACTCTAAACAATAGAATTACCTAACATCTCCTTGATACAAGACATCAGATCGATACTTTGCAATCCTTCAAGGTGGTTAGTAAGCAGCCAATCTCCAGTCTTCTGAAACCATCGCTATCAGGTGTCAAAAACCTGACTTATGTGCACAAAAGGAGATGGTTATTATTCTTTCCTTGCATTGGTAACAAATATTGCTTGGCTGCATTTGAAATTTTTTTTCTTGCATTTATTACATCATTGACCTTTGTTTCAATTATCTTCCAAATTAATAATCTTATTTTATCAATTGAGTTGTACTCACTATATTCCAGTCAGTGTCTACTCATTATGTAATCACTGGTTTCTGGCCGTCTGAACTATTGTCACAATCAATGTTGTAGGATGTTTATTCACATAAGATAGATATTTACAATATTCAGTCTATTCAATTTATTTACACCCTTGGTATACTATACTAAAATGTCTTCAATATAACTTCCAACCAAACCCTTTCATGTACGTAATTTAAACCCATTATTTAATTTTGATTTTAAATATCACAGGCTATAAGCAGGTGACGAGAACCAACAAAATAAAATGAAATCATGCTATTCTGCTAGAATCTTTGATCCTGCTCTTTTCAAAATGATAAAGGGAACTATGTGTATGAAATCTTTGATAAGTTTGATGACAAAACGTTCCAAAGATTTTCACCAAAAAATTATGATTTTCTTCGAAATTTTTAAAAAAGTTCTTTCATTTTTTTTTATTTATTTTAAATTACACCACGAAGAAATGTCATTGATTTGTTTTGGCATTATATAATGATTTTCTTATATGATTTTAATTAGTTTTATTCTTATATCCCTTAAACTCACAAAAATCTTGACACAGATTTAAAGGAGATTTAATCAACTTATTACTTACGCCTGTTCTCCCAATGGAACATAGGCCGCCGATCAGTATTCTCCAACCCACTCTGTCATGAGCCTCCTTTTCTAATTCCATTCAATTCTTGTTCATCTTTTTCATGTCTATTTCCATTTCTCGGCGTAATGTGTCCTTTGGTCTTCCTCTTTTCCTTTGGCTTTGAGGATTCCATGTGAGGACTTGTCTTGTGACCCAGTTGGGTGCTTTCCTCAATGTGTGTCTTATCCACTTCCAGCACTACTTCCTGATTTCTTCCTCCTCTGGGAGCTGGTCTGTTCTCTCCCACAGTAGGTTGCTGCTAATAGTGTCCGGCCAACGGATCTGAAGTATTTTGCGCAGACAACTGTTAATAAACACCTGTATCTTCTGGATGATGGCTTTCGTAGTTCTCCAGGTTTCCGCCCCATACAGTAGAACTGTTTTGACATTTGTATTGAAAATCCTGATCTTGGTGTTGGTTGACAATCACTTTGAGTTCCAGATGTTCCTCAGTTGTAAATATGCTGCTCTTGCTTTACCGATCCGCGCCTTCACATTTGCATCAGATCCACCGTGTTCATCAATGATGCTGTCCAGATATGTAAAGGATTTTACATCTTCCAAATCTTCTCTGTCAGTTGTGATTGGATCGGTGCATGCTGTGTTGTATCGGAGAACCTTGCTCTTCCCTTTGTGTATATTGAGACCTACTGCTGCTGAGGCTGCTGCTACACTGTTCGTCTTCTCCTGCATTTGTTGTTGCGTTTGGAATAGAAGGGCCAGATCATCTGTGAAGTCCAGATCGTCCAACTGCATCCTAGATGTCCAATGTATCCCGTGCTTCCCTTCAGATGTTGACGTTTTCATGATCCAGTCGATCACCAGGAGAAAGAGAAAGGGTGGGAGTTAGCAACCTTGCCTAACACCGGTCTTCACTTCGAACGACTTTGTCGACTGTCCTCCATGCACGATTTTGCAGTGTAATCCATCATAGGAATTCCGTATTCAGTTCAGTATCTACATTGAAAAAAAATCAATGTAGATACTGAACTGATTAAACAAATTTTTAAGAAAGTATTATTAATGACAGGCTGCTTCAGCAATGAATAAATACAAATTTCTGTTATACTGTTTAAGTTTTATTGTAGATGGTAGTTTCAGATTTATACATTTTAAAATATACTGACTGTATATTACATTTTCATAAGTTGAAACGATACAATAATCTCTAAGCTACTTGTATCCAAATTTAATGAAATAATTTTTTTGTATAAGAGTTAATATAAATTAATAATCAATATTAAATGTATAATGTTTTGTTTTTCGGAAACAACCGGTGTACATCAGTGTCATTTATTACTTTTAAAATAAAAGTATATGATTTTATAGATTGATTCATACGATAAATATCATTATTTTACTCTGGATTAAATGCTATCAAAGTGATATATATATATATATATATATATATATATATATATATATATATATATATATATATATATATATATATAAAACACTTTTGACATATCCGACATTTATCATGTACAAGAAGAAAAAAGGGAGATAAATTTAAAGTACAATTTATCATCATTATAATTTTACTTTCATTATCAAAAAGAAAAATGCCAATAATAATTTGTTAACTTATAATTCTTTTTAGATTGAAAGTACATATGAAAGAAATCCATTTGCCGTCAAAAGGAATTTTGCATCAAATCAAAGAAATGAACCTAATCTAAGGTAATTATAATAAATTGTAAATTTATAAATTGTTATCAATTTTCGGATTTGAACTTATATCAAGTGATATCATATTGAGGTCTTAGCTTTAGTCTTCTCTATTGCCATAAATAACTATTAATGACAAGTTCAACATGGGGGCAAAACGACCATTATATATAGAGTTTTCACAGGTTGAAATCATGAGTCAATTGAAGCTAGACCACCATGGAAGACCTGAAAGCACTGGACGGCCGTTTAGTCCTAGTATGGAACTCCTCAGCAGTGCACATCCATAATCCCGTGCCCTGCGGGATTTGAACCCAGGACCTACTGGTTTCACGCGCGAGCACATAACCACTAGACCGCTGAGCCGGCATCCAACGGTGTTAATGTCTGACTTCAACCAATCCACGAAGTTGCGACATAGTACACCATTGTCTTCAGTCAACTGATATTTCACAACAGACCGTCCAGTGCTTCTAGGTTTTCCATGGTGATCTAGCTTCAATTGACTCATGATTTCAACCTGCGAAATATATAGAGTTTGTCTAATTTAATAAACAGAAGGCAATACAATACAAATTCCTTAACTTTGTTTTAGTTAGATTTACTACATATTTCCTATTGTTATTCTTAGTTTGTAGTTCACTTTATATTGAGAAATGATTGATCGTTATTATTTTTTTAAAATTGAGATTATTTCTTTTAATATACGCAAGATATTAGACCATCACAGTTGACATTCATATAACTTGTATATCATTGAATTTCAGATGAAGAAATTTTTTTACTTTTATGTTGCTGTATTTTATGATTTTAATTCGTCTTTCTGGAAAAATCCAATTTGATTTTTAATATCGTCATATCATTTTAGTTCTCATACGTGATTGAATTTCAGAGAAAGTAAAAAATAATTTAATCGTGTTTTTACTAGTCAAAACACAATAGATGATAAATGACAGAAAAATAACACCATAACTTTACTACACTAAAACAACAATATTGTGTCTTCAGGCCCACTTTGTGTCACGTAATTTATTCTCTAAACAAAATACAACTTATTCGCTCTTGTATTGTGCCAAACCAATGATGTTCGGCCAGTCTGACCAGCTTAGCGTCCTTATTGGTCCTTTGCTCCCTTAGCTTGTCTAGTTGAGTCCAGAACATCAATAAAAGCTCCCGCTATGCGGATCATTTATTTCAGACATACTAGGTTTATATACGAACCAGACAGACCGTTTCACACCATAAAATGGGAAATAACATTTATACATAATAAAGCCAAGAAGTAGCTGTGAACGTGGGAGACTATAATCAATAAACTGAACTTAAGAACAGTAAGTCGTACAATAATAATCTATACATCAAAATGAAGCTTATAATAAGGGGAATATAGATATATATATAATCAAATTACTGAATAGTTATACCATAAGAATATAGAAATAATATTAGTCCATTGATAGGTCTCAGAAGTTACTCGTAAATTATTCTTGCTAGGATATAACAAAAACATTTTTACCAGTATTAAAATTGCTTGGGTAAAGATTGAGATATGCTAAATTTCTATAATCACTGACCTCTAGAATAGTGTGAGATATAAAAAAATAAGCTTACAATAAACATTATTGCGTAGACACCAAACAGCTATTGACAGAACATATCAAATACATCAATTAATTTGGTAAGACTGTTTATCAATAACTTATGAGCTATTGTTTGAGATGACTTGAAACTTCGAGATTACCTTACCATACTCGATTATCATTCCGTTATAATAAAAGGAATTCATTGAAAAAATTTATTTCTGACATTTCACTCAGTTGCATTGAGTTTGCACTGAATACCATGGCATGAAAACATAATTAAATAAGATTTTTTACTTCATTTTCAAATGTATAATCGTTCAACAAACAAAAATCGTAACTTTATAACTTCATTCGGTCAAATAATCCATTCGATATGGGTCTTATATCTAGAGCGTAGAAATTAACGTAACAACTCTCTAAGAATTGTTCATCTGTTTAATGAACTTTTCAATATATTTAGATCGAATGAAGTGATATAGCAAAAAGAGTAGATGATCAGACATATTAATATAAATGACTTGTAAAATAGGATGTTTATCCTTAAGTTTAAGACATTTAATTTTTTAAACATATTTTCTTCCTTTACCCATAAATACGATAATTTAAGATTTCCATCAAGTACGTTGAATTTTCGATCAAATGTTTTATAACTATGTATCGACATTCCTTTAAGCTTTGTGATTTTACTTCAAAATGATTAGTTAATAGAAATCACTTTGGTGCCGAATTTTTCTTTATAACCAAAAATAATCTTCTCTATCTTTTTTCTACTTATTGGTTTAATAAATAAAGATTATTGCAAGAAAGAACCAAATAGATACGCACCGCACAAATCGTTTGACTTGTGTGAGGGCTGAAATGCTGCCCATATACCCAAGCTGAAGCAGGTAGTTTGTCTACAGTGCTGCTCCTCGAGACTTTGACTTAGAGATCTAATCTACAAGGGAATGGAGCAACGTTAGGAGATGCTGTTCCATTGTATCCGATGATCAACACATTCCATTTTCCCCTCCGGATTTCGGAACCCGTGTGCATCATTGTTTGTAGTCAAGGTTTTTCAACTCCCCTAGGTGGACCCTCCGTACCCACCGACACGGCTAAAGCGCCGAACACTCGCTTTCCGTTCACTCAATTTTGTAAACAACACTTCCACCGCGAGAAGGCAGTAACCGGGACTTCCTTTGTATTAGCTGTTCGCGCGTGGCCATGTTAGAGCATTTCTGGGAGGAGAGCTGACACTTCCCACCCATTTCAAAGCTATTTATTGATTAGTTGATTAGGAATAAATTTTCATTTCCTAATCACTTTATGTTTGTGTCAATGTGTTTTGATATATCCGACAAAGAATATGTAGTGAACGAGAACACATCCGAATGTATTTGAATACGAAATTGCAGAACACCTTAGTAAACCATACCGTAAGTACTTCATTGGCAAAATGTCAATGAATTGTCTCAAACTTGACTGTTCCTTTTACGAATGTCAATCGTCTTAGACTTCACTGTCCCTTTACTTCCACAGCAATCATTCTCTGTTCTCGTGCTCTTTTCTTTGATCATAACCTTCTACCACCAGACATTTCACTTTCGATTGATGATACATACTACTTATGTATGTAAACATCAGTAGCACACACCACAAATACACACAATTGCTGATATTTATTTATGATTTTAGAACTAGTCACAATTTAAAATCATTTTAGAATGATGTTTCTCTGAGACTGCTCATCGGTAGAATGCAGTCAATTATTTAAAACTAATTACAAATTATAATTTTAATAAAATCATTATGACAAAACTACTTTTAAAAGTAGTGAGTACATAGGGACACTTCATAACAATCCTTCATTTGTAAAAATATTTAATATCCGGGTTTATAAACGATAGAATGGTGATTTAGACATGGATTTCATTTTAGAATCATCAGTATTAATTACCAAGGTTAATATTTAGTTAATAATATTCGAAAGCTAATGTGATAATTCATTTATGGCTAGAATTACAATAAAAGTTATCCAAGTGGTTGGCATTCAGTCAACAATAGCTTATAGCTTACTTATTTGTAAAGTACATCACTAGCAAGTACAATATTTCATTTTTGTTGATACTTTCAGATTTTAAACAATTACAAGCCCTATAATTGAACAGTCGATGTAATGTTGTTGTTGTAAAAAAATAAAACAACAATTTTACAATAAAAACCAGAATTCACCATAACTACTTGACATTTTTTATTTTCAAGAGGAATACATCGATTAAAGTAAAAATAATCCATTATTGCATTTAGTTTTTGATGTAATCAATTTTGTTATTTTGCACAGTGTCTATTGAAAAATCAAATATAAAATTAGACGAACTTATTCTCTATTTTCCTTAAAAACTGGGTTTCCTCTGCTACATGTACCTTTTTAAAGACATAATTATCAAGTAAGCTTAATGTTTTATAAGTTGCATCAAAACTACTTAAAATTCATTTAAGTAAGTGGAAAAATTGTGTTAAATTTGTATAGGATGATTTATCACCAAGTTATTAGTGGCTTTCAATTACAAACTTATTCAGATTAATGTCTTATTTATCAAACTAATATAATTTTAATATATAAAATAACTACCAGCTTTACAAACAACACTAAATGCATATTTATATATAAAAATATGCTTTTATTGTGATATGGAGTTAATCAGGTCATATTTGATGTTCAATGATAGTGTTTCTGTATCATAAGTTGGCTATATATGAAAGATGTGAAAAATCCGATTTCGATTCATCATGTCATTAGTACTGTGTACACAGTGAGTTCTAAAACATACTGTTTCGTATTCCATGTGAACTTGTGGAAGTGAAATGCAATACATTATTTTGGTTACCATTATAAAGCCAGTCAACAAATTATGTGATGTGATGATTACCTGTCGTGTATGGACCTTCTTCACATATATTAGATTTATGAATAAAATGTCTCTCCCTCCGTAAAGCAAAACTGACCGGTATTTCAATGAGACAGTATTTTGCAAATGGTGAATTCCACACATCGGCGGTTATTTTACCATTTCAACATATGATAAGATATTAAGTATAAGGTCGTTCACTCCAAAAAACACTGTCCATATTAAAACCATTTTATACAATCCATATAAACTGATTTGAAAGGTGAATAAAGATACAAGTTCAAATTCCACACTTTAGTCAAAGATCTGAATCCAATAAAGACATGATTTTTTCATCCTTCACATGTTAGCTAATAAAGCTACTGAGCAGTCAAACAAGAAACAGTTTTCAACCAAGTTTCGTCGCATTTTAAATACTGATGGCATAATAATAAGGTGAAGAATGTTAAGAGGTAGTATAGTGCTTTAAGTGCTTAATTTGTAACCAGTAATTTGAGCACTCAAATACTGACCGACCCAACTCGTTTTCAGTAGCTGTTTAGTCTTAATGCCCCATATGCAAAGAGTAGTTAATGGCCGAGTACAGAAGCATGTAATTTATAATTAAAATGCAAAGAAAATAGAACGAGTTTATTCAAGTAATCATTCATGCTTTGCTGTAATGTTGTACTAGTAAAGCTCAGAACATCAATGAAGACATTGAAACTGATATGGTGACTAATAGCTATATATATATGCTTTACCAAAGTCGAGGATTCCGTTTGTATATGATGTTTGCATATATATAATCAAATAATATCGTGAAACTATGGTTACACTTTTATAAATGTATATGAAAGTTCACCAGATGAATTCAAAGAATGTGAATTCTTCAAAGAAACCTTCTTCAGTACAGTTTAAAAAAACGATAACCGGTTTGGAGTGTAACTTCGTTCCAGTCACAATTTCACCCCACCCTAATGAGTGGTCATAAAATAAATAAATTTAAGTGAAAATATAATTCTACCATTTGACTGAATTGAGGAATGTTATCTCAATGACTAGGCTAAATAGTATGACATTTTTTAAAATTTTCCATTGACTGATCAGTGAGTAGTGACAAATATCTAATCCTGAGTACTGAACGAATGATATCGACCGAGTTTAAATCAAATATACGTAGTAACAGCTCCTACATTATCTTTAGCATTTAAACTAGTCTTTTTCGTTAGAAAAAAAATAATTGACTAAGTGTAATTCGAAAAACCTGTTATCATTGTTTAAATTATTAGGTTATTCTCAAGTGATCTTACAATTCGCTCAAAATTAATAAGTGTGTAACAACTGGTAAAAAAACAACAGCCTGTGATACTGCTCGCATGCCTAAACCAAAACAGATAGTTTTATTAGGAAGCCACACCCGGAGCCTTCGACCTAAAGGTATAATCCGCAAGGCAGTGGGTCAACTTTAGAAGATGCAGTCTCATGGTAGCCGGGGACCAACAACTGGTTAATACGCCTTTTGTTCACTCAAGATCCTTGGGCCTATGTGCACCACTGGTTTGGAACCACGGTTATCCAACTCCCATACGTGGGTCCTCCGTATACACCAACCCGGCTAAAGCGCCGAATATTCGCGGACGCTCCCCATCCTCGGCCGTGCCAGGGCATGAAGATATGAACTGTACTAGCCAGGATCTACTCCAGGATACTGGTAATTAACAATGATGCACTTTTTCTCCATATCAGAAACATTAATCTACTAGGCCAGCAATTTAGAAAACTTTGTAAATAAATTGGTAACGTATTTAAAACATGGAACTTCATTGTTCAAAAATCTGATTTGAGATGGAATCACTTGAGGATTAAGTATGTAATGGTCTGATTTAATTTCAAAGTAAATGAAACTATTACAGATGAAGACGTTGATCCCTAGTTAGGGTTGGAGACAAGTAATTGGTTACCAAACTACAGAATATTGCAATTTTTTATAACAAATTCGTAAAGCAATCAGCGGGAAAGAACTGAACTAGAGGATCTGGAAAAGTGCAAAGTGTTACTTAATAGATGAAACCATAGTACACTGCTGAACTTATCAACATTCAATAATCAAATGTTCATCCCGTTTTGACCAAATGCTGTAGAAAAGTTTGAATGCAAGGTTTTAATTCAATCTAAGATTGATTGAATAAATTAGTTAGTAAACTCGTACGTTGTTTATCAGCTTCAACTATATTATTAGTAAAATCGACTTGACGTCAAGCAAGCATTGCCAACAAAAATACTTCTCTAAAGCACCGTAACTTCCAGATAAACTTAAGACTATCTTATTCGTATTAATCCACTGTGAGTGCTAATAACATCGAACGCATCACAAGTACGACTTAGTTCCAGTTACTCTGATAAAATAGAGTGAAGTGCAAGGATATTTTTTTAGTTGTTGGATACCGCCTTCATAAAAATAGGTATTAGTCAAAAAGAATCTCTGTGTGTCAGTTAAGGTACACGTCACCAATGGGATTCTGAGGTAAAAGAATGGAACATACACAATTTATATTGATGTATAGTAAGATATCGAAAAATTGGATGAAACATGTAGGATATACCTAGTCGAAATACGACTTCACGTGAAATGTAAGATTTATTTTTTGTGTATAGCTGGATGCAGAAACATTATGTATTTATTACATGCGCATATATATATATAATTCTCGTCACCAGCATGTTAGTAAGACGTGTACCTAAGTAAACCAGTGAGCATTCCCATTATCTATCTGTTTAAGTTATAAATTTACAAAAAAGCTTTAAGCTTGTTGCAAGATAAAACACAGATGGAAATTTTGCATATCACCACAATAGTCAAAAAATAGAATACCAACCAGAGTAGAAATACATTTATAAGGAATAAAATAAACATAGTCATCTAAAAACATTAAAATACCCTCACCTAATCACACACAAAGAATAAATCAAAGTATTTAAGACGAAATAAAGAAAACATAATTCATTGTTAACTTAGGTCTGAACAGTACAAAATAATTAGCACAATGAAATTATATCACGTTCAAGAGATTTTTTATTGAGTTCATAATCATTTAAAGAAATACTGCTAATATTAAAAATTTTATTTATGAATCTAAAAGTGAAAGACTGAAGTGATCTTCATGATGACAAAAATAAGCAAGAAATACAATCACAGAGAAGTCCAAATAAACTATAAGCGTATATCACATATATTGTATGCGTATGGAGAGATTGCATATATGTATCCATATGAAATTCACTAAACTGTTCACTGAAATCTATAAAACAGACAAGCATGAAAAAATTGAAATCACCTTGAGGCAGTAGTTTAAAAGTAAATGCCATATGAATGAAAATGTACGTCAACTGATGACCTAAAAGATAGACAAAACAACAGGTGATAATACTGCTTAACAGAGTGAAATTTTCATGTGACTGAAAATAAGTAGATAGCTCAGTTGATTATATTTAATATCAGCTGCCAATTGAATTCAAAACCAACATCTTATATTATTCGATCGCAATTAGTTGGATCAATTTTCAGTTCATTGTGATTCAGATATGAGTCCATAAATTCGGTAGGTTTGTCTTTAAGTTGGATACAAGTAAAAACTCGACATACAAGGCCTTAAAAACTAGTTTCATTAATAAATTGGATTTCCGAGAGCATTACGCGGAAAAAATCTGTTTATCATATAAAGTATATCGCGTAGCAATTCATCCCCTTATTATTACGGTTGTGAAATGTAACCTATGAAAATTGCTAGTATTTGACCATAAAATGTCCCCGAAACACTAATTACGCATGGTGCAAACGTTGTGTAAGTAATGCTGAAACGAAGCGTAAGGAACTAACTTAGGTGAAGTTGCGAATTTTCATCGCTTAAGGACGTTCGGCACATAAGCTACGCATGCGTGGTTGCCGCTTACTGTGACGTGATGTATGTTGAATAGCAAAGATGGAAAATGATAAGCTGCGGCTTGAATTAGACATGGCTCAAAATCAGTTGCGATTGTATGAATGCATTCATTTTCATCTTCTAAATTTTCAGTTCCAGTAATATTTCATACTTTCTTGTTCCATCTCATCTACTAAATTTGTTTGCATTATGTTAATATGAATTATGTACATCAACTTGACGTATATCTGCGACATTTTTCACACTGCTTATGACTGACTAAATTCATATCGTTAATACCTACGCTTATTTATTGTGCAAGTCTAACTCATTTATAACATAATTAAGGTTCTATGTTGATACGTTTGCATTATCTGATGCGATGACTTAGATTTTATAAAGAAACCAGATATCTTGAAATTAGATACAACAAGAACTCACGAAACTAATAAAAGACTAGGTCTTCAAAGCGTCTTCCTAAAGACCTGAACTTTTATCATTGAGTGGAAAAGTTATAAATATTGTTAGTTAAGACCATTTAGTCCCTGGAGAGTAACCATTAACATTCTAGTTTTCAGTGTAAACAGTGACTAGACATCATATGGTATATTGTAATTAATCCCTTTCGAATAAGAGTAATCAACAGAAATCTTTAGATGTAGATTTCGCGCTAGTTAGCACTCATCAAAAAAAGAAATACATAAAACGTAGGCGTAAATCATGCTTTGTTAAAATCACATGAATCCAGTAAGCCATTTCAACACTACGTAATGAACATCACAATACCAACTTTTTTTATCTACTACATGGATTTATTTATTTATTTATTTTAACACAGATATTGGTACGATGAGACACCAAACACATATGCGCCACATAAATCATTCGGTTTGTGTGAAGGCTGTGATACTGCCCGGGTGCCCGAACCGAAGTAGGTGGCTTTCTTAGGGGGCCACAACCAGAGCCTTTGACCTAAAGGTCTGATCCACAAGGCAGTGGAGCAACGTAAGGAGATGCGGTCCCATGGTAGCCGGTGACCAACGATTGGTTCATACGCCATTTGTTCCTTCAGGATACTGGAGCTCATGTGCACCACTGGTTTGGAATCAGGGTTTTCCAACTCCCCTAGGTGGACTCTTCATGTCCACCGACCCGGTTAAAGCGCCGGACGTTCGCTTTTCGTCTTCTCAATTTCGTAAACAACACCCCAGCCACGAGAAGGCGGTGAGTAGGACTTCCGTGGCAGGGGCTATATACGTATGATCATGTGAGAGCATTTCGAGAGGGAGAACGGACTTTCCCCACTATCGGCCGTACTAGGGCATTTGGGGGCATTACAAACTTACCAGGTAGAATCCTGTCTAATGTGAATTATTTAACGTTGTACTGATTGCTACCCAGAGACTACTTAGTATACACGAAATGAGTGCATATTTGAATCGGATCCTCAGAAGATACAGTTAACTCATAATTCAGTTAACACCGAAAAAATAACATGGAAAACTTATTACAAAACAATCTATTCACTTACTATTTATTTTGAGCTGAGTCACTGACAAGCATATTACGACTAAGTAGATCATTTTCAAGTTTTGTTATTTCTGTTCGAAGAGATTCGAAGCATGGATTAAATTTACGAGGTGACCTATAAAAAGAGATTCAATAGATTTTGGGATCACCCTAAATTAAATAAATATTTTTAAAATTTGGTCTCTCAACATTTAAATATATGTAGGGAATGATATCCAAAATGTTCTTTAAAGCCTCCCAGTGTTGACTTGTGACATGTCTAGTATTCTTTAGGTAATTCACTTTACTTGACTCGATAAACATAAAAATAAGCTGGGAATAAAATATATTCCAAGGAGCCGAAAAAACAATCTACAGTAATATAAGCGCAAGAGTTTATACATAATTTATACGATAAATCTTTAGTATCTTATTGATTCATCTATTATCTCTGATTAGTTAAAAATGAATCGATCGTCACATTCAGATTTGGGCTCGCGTTGAGAATGCAATAGTTAGAATTCTATCCTATTAACAACTGGTAGGACAATCAACTGAATTTGCTTTGAGTGACGCCTTCCTTGGTACGAGATTTTACCAATATTTTCTATGCATCGCTAACCGATTCATTTATTTGAATAGTTGCACAAGGCACAACTGTCAATGAACTTTTAATGTAACTTTGAGGGTGTAAAGATCCGCGATAAGTGAATGTAGTTCGAATAGTTCGACACCTTTTGAAGTTTCAGTTAACATTATCATCAGATATAGCTCTGAAAAAATCTCAACATTTTCTCAAAAAAACGACGTATTAGTAAATGTATATGTGATTAAAATCGAAGCAAGATTTCCTGAATGAGTTGCTTTTCAATGATGAAAACAACAATAGGTTAGGTTTCACCATAAGAATGATGTTGGACTGCATTAAACAAAACGATATTTTTTTAACGTAAATTGGTTATTACTTGCTGTAAGGACTGCATTTTATTTAGCTTACCATAACTATGGTTGTTTGTTACAATGATTACAAGTGAGGAATTATGTTTTAAGTGAAGGCTATTTACGTATCACAATAGTCCGCCTTTTAACACATTTTTTAATGGTTAGGTTGTCTACATACGAAATAAAGGATAGATAAACGTTCACCCTAGTATTTTTGAACAAGCAAAGTTTAAAGCAAACCTCCTATAATCAATTTCGATTATGGTTAATTTTAGTTAAGCTCAAACATCGATGGAATTTATATAATAACGGTTACAAATGGGATTGATTGACGAAGCAAAACCACAAGTTATTTAGTTGAAAAAGGTTATATGAGACAAATGAATGAGATCAAATTGGAAAACATACTTTATTGATAACATCCAGGGATACTAAAGTGGCTGAAATGAACCTGTGAACCCAGTGAATGTTGCAATCCAAAATAAAATATTAAATACAAACGCATAGATTATGTGAAATTTATCTTACTTTGTATGAAAATTTATCCGAGAATTACCATCAACCAGATTTTCGAAATAAATTCCAAGAGCAGCTAATGAACCAACGGAAAATTGGTTGACTATTTTAGATTCGTCATATAACTCCAAACGAGTGAATAAACGAAATTTCTGTAACTGACCATGAATCATATTTTTCAAATGATTGAATTCCCTCTGTAGTATAGCTTTTTCACTCAGCGCATTCTGGAGTGATTCTGCCAGTGTTGATAGGTGATCGCTTGTTATCTATAAGTTAAAAAATTCAATAGTTATTCTTTTGAATTCCTAAACAATTACAATGCTTTACCAACGTCATGGAATGAGTCGATAGTTGTCCCTATCTTTAAAAAGGGTTCACGTCGTTCCTGCAACAACTATCGGCGGATAAGTCTACTTCCGATTGCGTCCAAGCTATTGGCTTCCGTCATACTTCGTAGGTTGTTCAAAACCCGAGAAAGATTGACTCGCGAGGAGCAGGCTGGGTTTCTTTCTGGTCCAGGATGTATTGATCATATCTTCACCCTCCGCCAAATGTTAGAACACCGCCATACTTATCAAAGGCCAACAATCGTAGTGTTTCTTGACATCAGGGCTGCCTTCGATTCGTTGGATAGGACTGTTCTCTGGGATTGTCTATTGAAGAAGGGTGTGCCTGAGAAGTTTATTAACATTTTAAAAGCCCTATATAAAAACACCTCAGGCAGAGTGAGGGCATACAACCACCTCTATCCATTGTTCCATTCGAGCAGTGTGGTTAGACAGGGTTGCCCAATCTCACCATTCCTCTTCAACTTTACCATCGATGACATTCTGGAAACAGCTCTGATGAATGTAAGTAATGGTGGTGTGGATCTGTTGCCTAGAGAAAGACTTCTCGACCTTGGGTATGCGGACGATATTGTCTTACTGTGCGATAATGCCCAAGCCATGCAATCCGCACTTAATCAGTTGGCAATCAGTGTCCGTAGGTACGGTATGTGCTTTGCACCTTCGAAGTGCAAAGTACTTCTACAAGACTGGCAGGATTCTAATCCTGTACTCACCCTGGATGGTGAGCAGATAGAAGTAGTCGAGAAGTTCGTGTATCTGGGTAGCTGCATAAGTGCTGGTGGGGGTGTGAGTGATGAGATCAATGCACGTATAGTGAAAGACAGAGCGGCTTATGCCAATTTGGGCCACCTTTGGCGCCTTCGTGATGTTAGTCTGGCTGTAAAAGGTCGGATCTACAACGCATCGGTGAGAGCGGTTTCGCTCTATGCTTGTGAAACCTGACCTCTCCGAGTTGGGGACGTTAGACGACTCTCTGTGTTCGATCATCGTTGTCTCCGAAGGATTGCTGACATTCAGTGGCAACACCATGTCAGTAATGCAGAGGTTCGGCATCGTGTGTTCGGGCACAGAGATGATAATTCGATTGGTGTCACCATCAAGAAACACCAACTTTGGTGGCTTGGACATGTTCTCCGAATGTCGTCTCAGAGAATTCCACGTCGTGCACTATTTGCCGACTCTGGGACTGGTTGGAAGAAGCAGAGAGGTGGTCAGTGCATGACATGGTGTCGTGGCATGAAAGAAAGCTGCAAAGGACTGGCTTGTGTCGGTCCTTCACGACTCCCTGGTTGGGGTCCGAGAGATGGTGCTACACAGTGGCTAGAGACGTTATCAGATATGGCTCAGAATAGAAGCCAGTGGCGATCCTGCTGTAACCTTTTACTTTCTTCATAAAAAGTGGTTGTGTCTCCCTTAAATGAAAGATTTTTTTCCGATTGCATTTTTCCGTTCCCTCATTACTACCTTACACCAATCTCTTCGTTATTGTTCTTTTTTGCGCTCCTTAGCTTTTTTTCTATTTCCCTTCGATTTCTCATTGTTTTGTGTGGCGCATATATATTGGCGCTCTCCTGTACCAATATTCATGTGTTCAATAATAATAATAATAATAATAATAATAATAATAATAATGTTTGTTATCGAAATATACCAATCCTCGCATGTAATTATCGACTTAACTCGCGTTAATGGATAAAGGAACTAAATAAGTCAATTACGAGAATGGATTTTTGAATACGTACATTTCATGCAATCGCTGATCGGAAAGCGGAGCAAACCAAAACGACGCGCAATGGAGAAGGCGAGTGAACAAACTCAATTTAGTAAAGGGTGAATTGATATTATTATTCGAAAAAAAAATAAGTTAAAGACATGTGATGAGTAAGATAAGAAATGCACACACATACGCTTACATAAAAACAGTCAGGATTAATAAGAGAATAATTGACAAGGTCAAAATGTGGCTCAAGAAGAATGGATAAATTGGCTTATCCAGAAGCTAGAATAGGTCATGTGGGCTTGACATAGTAATCGACACTACAACACTATGACCGCGGGGATGTGTAGTACTTAATCATCACTATCTTTATCCAAACATCAACAATCGATACAATACTTACAAGAAATTTTGTAATGCTGATTACAAAGGACAGTATAAACGCTACAAGACCACTTATAATGTAGTTGTATGTTGACGTTTATTAACAAAAACAGATGAAAATCACAAAAAATCGGTTTATGAACGCACTGTGTTCAAAATAAAAATGAAAAAAATGAGATGGAATCTGCTTATATCGATGCGAAATAACTTATTATGCGGTATAATAAAAACAAGAATTAATGTTTTCAAATAAAATAGGATATACCTTAACAATTGATTTCATTGAATTGATTTCCGTTTCATAGTGAGAACGATTTTCATCTTCGTGCGCTCGCAATAATGAGACTTCTTCTTTTGAAGAAACAACTTCCTGACGAAGTTCACTAACTAACTTTTGTACGTTAACAAGTTCGGCTTTGGTATTATTAAGTTCCACAATAGTAAGTTGATGAGCCTCTAGTGCTTGTTGATGGGCAACTTTTTCACGTTCAGCGTTAAGCGTCTGCATTTCTGCCTCTTTCTGATAAGTTGTTAAGTTAGCAACAGCATTGGCTAAATCCTTTTGCAAGACCGAAACATGCTCGGAAAGATTGTCACGCTCACTTTTCACACAGTTCAGTTCATCGAAAGTAGACATAAGAAGAGCTTCAGATGTATCATATATGTGTTCTGAAGAACAAGTGTTGATATTAGACTGACGGGTATTGCATATTCTTAAGTCAAATGAATCATTTGGTGTTTCAGTAGTGACAGAAGATGAGCCGTATTCATGATCACCTTTTTTAGAAATGACTGTTGACTGATTTGATCCACCAACTTGATATAATTTCAGTTTTTCTGCTTTACTTTCAGTAATTTCAGTTAGATTCGAATTTTCATGTGATGAACAGCAATATAGTATTGACTCTAATGTTTCAGTGACAGGTAGTAAGGTAGTGGCTACATTCTGTGTATAAAAACCTTCATTTGTCCGGTTCCCTTGATGATCATTTGAGAAATATTCCGTCAACTTAACTGGTGTTTCATTTATTTTAACACGGAAATTACTAGAGAAACTAGATGACTCCTTACCTGTCCAACCATTTGTATGAATATTTTGAACCTCAGTAACACCACATTTATAGTTGGTATCCTGCTCAGTAGATAAGATAGCACAAGTATCATTTTTCTTTGAAAAGCAGACATTTTGGTGTTGTTCTGGTGTAACTAACGGATCTGTATAAACTTTATCACAGTTCAGATTATTGGTTTTGTGGTCCAAAGGTAAACTGGTTCTAGGAATTAAAATGCTACTTCTACTAGTTGTAATATCACAATTAAAATCCAAGGAACATTCGTCTTTAGACAGACACGTGTACGAATTATCTTGTTGTACACTGAATTTATACTCATCAGTATTGTTCAGACTATCATGTAAATAAAGATTTAAATAAGGCATATTACGTTGTTGGTTATCTGAAGAATATATTTGATTGGTTGTTATATGGGTGTCTGAAAGGTGAAAGCCAGAATCCACATTAGCAATATTCTGGTTATCTGGTAACTGCTGTATATATGGCCAGTTATCAAAATAACACTGACTATTTGAATTAGGAACTGTTTGATTTAATCTCATTTGGTTTTGCTCGTATGAAGAAGACGAAACACGGGTAGAAACCAAAGACGAAGGATCCGTTGACCAAAATATATTTTTATCAGAACTTAAAGGTGTTGTGGGATAGTTTTCCTGTGAGTTCAAGCCGTTATTTTGAGTGTCGTGATTAGAATCAGGTACACCGATTGTATTTTGCGAAATTGGAGTTACATCACAAACAGCGTCACTGGATAATCTTTTGTTTAAATCCGTAATTTGCCAACAACTATCTTCATTCACTTGAATGTGTAAAGAATGTGCAGCATCCGAGGTACTAAAATTATTTACTGAAGACGGTAGAGAAGCAGTATTTGGTTGACTTTGAAAGGTCGCCATTGAAACTGGGAAGTAGTGAATGGTCTGCGACTCTAGTGTAAGTTGTTTGTTAATTATCTGACTCGGCAAAAGGGAACTCGTTCCTACATGTTTTACTTTAGCAACAGTTTCAAAGCTACCATCAGCCTTTTGGGGTGAAAAATTTAATTTGTTTAGATTGTTGTGGGAATTTTCGGTTTCCGTCAGCGAAACTTTTAAGGAAGAGTTTAATTTCTCTTTTTCTTGCCTTAACTTTTCAATCACATTCCAGTAATCACTTAACTGGTCGGAAAGAAATTTGATTTTGTCAGCCATACTATCTCGTTGAGTGGTGAGCTCCATAATTTGTGCAGACTTGGATTCAATTTCACGTCTAAGGATGACAAAACTTTTTTCTACTCTGAACAAGTTATCCTTCAAATTTACCAAGTATTTATTCAATGTTTCTTTTTCATATTGTGATGCTGAGAGAGCTGCAGTGAGTGTGGCTTTTTCTTCTAGAATCTCATCAATTAAGATGCCCTTACTTTTATCTCCGTTTTCATAGACCTTCAGACTTTCTAAGATGATACCATATTTGGAGAATTGATCATCTAGATAGTTTTCCTTCGTAAAATGTTCTCTCTCAAAGGATTCTAACTGGTTTTGTAATTCACTGCGCTTTCTTTCTGCGACTGCCAGGGCTCCTTCAGCATCCAACAGCTTGTTCTTCTGAAGCAGAATATGCTCTTCAGTAGCCTTAAGTTCCATTTGAAAATTAGACACCTGAGTCTGTAACTCCCTTATCTCATCAGCGCGCTGACGACTGATATTCTCAAACAAAGCTCGTTCAGCAGTAATACGCTCAAAAAGGGCTTCACGTTCTACCATGTCAACACGGATAGACTCTAACTGGCGAGAGAGATTTCGTTTAGCATCAGCTAAGGCGGCCTTGCTACATACTAACTGAGCTCGCAAACAAGCATTTTCATGTGCCAGACGATGATTCATTTCACTGCTATCCTTTAGTAAGTTGACAATTCTTTCAGGTTCATTTTGAACACGATCACTGACACACTGAACCGAACGAAGCTGATTAGCGTACCAATCACGTGAACACTTCAAAATGTCGATCTCCTTCTGTAAATCTTCTTGGTGACAGATGGCTTGTTGATGAGAATGTCGAAGGGATTCCACTTCAACATATAGCTCAGAAACTTTTTCTTTTAACTTATTAATAGTATCTGTCTTAGCAGAACCCTCTTTTGTTAGTTCGCGTAAATGACCACCAAATTGTTTTTCTTCATTCTTTGCATGCATAAGTTCATGCGCAATCTTTTCTGCCTCTTCATTGCGCGCCATAAGTTCCTGCCGAAGGTAATTCAGTTCCTTTTCATAATGATTACAAGATGAATGAACGCCTGCTTCAGTTTCACTTTTTCCCTTATGATAGACGTGTTGAAGCGATAATTCAGAAAGTGATCTTACACGTCCCTTCTTGGGCTTGTTGGTAAAAGAGCTTGATACAAGCATAGTTTGTTTGGTAGTGTTACAAATACGTTCATCTGAATAATAGGAGTGGGTCGAAGAACTGAAGAGAGGAACACATAGAAATGATAATTCAAAAGGTTTGAGACGATTATGATCATCGAAGGAACATAAGTCAATATAATTCGCAGAACCGAATATGGGTCGATAACCTATGAATTTTAACGGTTCACTGGGGAAACATGAGTTTTGAAATAAGTTTTTTTTTTCAGGACTCTGAAGGTTTGTATTAACATTTGAATTTAAAAGTTTTCGGCTTCTGTCCCGACCCTGAACGAATGATCCGAGAGCAGCAGTACTATTTAGCGACTGCGATTCTTTTTCTTCTTTGGTACCTGGATAGCTACAAAAACCATATTTTGAAGAACTTGTCTTAATGTGTACTTCGGAATCTAAAATTGGATAAATTCAATTCGAATTAAAAGCTACCTGAAATGAAGTCTTCGTTAAAGTTTATGACTGTATCGAAGGGTTTGAATTTTCTACTCTCCATCATCTAAGTATTAGTCTTACTTAGTTTGTCGCACTATGATACGATTACTGAATATTTAAAGTAAATCTAATCAGCAGTTTACGCTAGTTAGTGGTTATGTATACATCCAAATTACCTTTCAAGGTTGATCGCATAAAAGCTGGTCATGAAAAATGATAACCCCTTAGGATGATCAACGAAGATTGATTAACATTTCAAGTTACCTCTGATGACGTTTTTGTAAGCGTTCATTTAGAAACAGATAGTCACATCAAAACTCAACACAGCTCTGGTAGTGATACGACGACTTAGTATTCAACCCAAAATAATTGACTTACACTTAATTTACAGAGTAGCTGATTTGTACAAAATGATTAGTTACTTGAGACTTTTCATTCTCAATAATTTTATATGCTGTAAAAAATGTAAACCAAAAGGACTCGTTATCCGACCTTAACAAGTACAATGATGTTAAAGAATAATGAAAATATTAAGGGATGTGAATAGAAAAGTGTACATTAATTAGGACATCCATATTATTCTTAAGACTCACAAATTTACAGTACCATATAAAATGGCGAAGTTCAACGTATTTATGAGGGTCTTTTTAAATACCTTATGACTCTACAGATATTATTACGATAACCAATAAAACGTTCAAAGTATTCAGGGACAAACTGCTCGACTTTAGTTCATAAAACAGTATGGAAAGGCTACAAAACTAGATAAATAGGAAACCATCAAATTATACATGTTCTACTGTAAGTTGTAGGGTGTTTCCTAAAATCAGTCACAACAGAGCGCATTTATTCCCGGGTTTTCAGAATCTTGAGAATTCATTCTACTCATTTGTTCACCAAATATATTAACCAATGAAGCTACAAGACGACAAGTACCGACGAAAAGTGTCTACAACAAATTCTTTTAAACTCTATTAAGCCCGCTACAAAACAGTAGATGTATAGACGTGGTCGTTAGCACTGATTATTTTGCTATATGAGGGAGGTAAGCCACACAAAAAGCTACTCAAACAGCATCAAGACCTGTCTTTTATTATTTTTAGTTTTTCCTTGATGTTTCTGATTATCGTCAAATAATAAAGGGAACAAGATTGTTGAGATTGACATCAGCAGATATTAAAAGGTAGAGAGAATAAAATTAGTAATGTATAAGTCTGAACATTGAACAAATAACTACACAGGCATCATAAAAGTTGACAACAGTATATAACAAAGAAATTCCAAGTAGATTGGATGGGGTCGAAAAACTTTGTCCCGGAATGCCCTAGTACAGCCGAGGGTGGGCAGAATCCGCTCTCTCTCTCTCTTGAAATTCTCACATGGCCACGCGTATACAGCCGCTATCAAGAAAGTTTTAGTCACTACCTTGTGGAAGGGAGTGTTGTTTACGAAAGTGAAAGGATAAAAAGCGATTGTCCAGCGCTTTAACTGGGGTTGCTGAATATGGAGGACCCACATAGGAGAGTTCGAGAACCCTGACCCCAAACCAGTGGTGCATATGGAGAACAGGATCATGAGAGGACAAATGGTACCAGTCAGTCAGTCAGTTACAACGTAGAACCAGGCATATATATACATCGGTTCAAGTTGTCACACCTCATCAGCACAACAAATCGATCACAAAATTTATAGAAGTTACATCAGTGGTAGTAATAAATAAAAGAAATGTTGCATATAAGGATACAATACAGGGAGAAATAATTAGTTCGTAGAAGGAAGGGTATAAAGTAATTTTAGTCTTATGGTTTAAGGGAAGACAGAGTATAAACACCAACATTGTGATTGATTTTGAACCATGTCGCTCAGTCTCTAACCACTGTTTACGTTAGTCACGAAGACCCCAATCAAGTAATCTGTATCTAACAACATGGTTCAAACCACAAGTTAGTGACGTTGTGGACTGATGCCACGTTTTGATCTGGACGCCCCTAACTTCCATCCATCTTCAACATTTGTAAGCGTTGCGTGCCGTGGCAGTCGGTGATTGGGCATAAGTTAAACGTGGTCCAACCATCTCAGTTGATGTAGATTCACAACTTTACCAACTGACTAATCATCATTCCCTAATACCTTGAGTTTAACCTCACTATTACTTACCCGGTGATTCCAGCAGATGCGAACAGTGTTACTAAGGCATCTGTGATCACATACTAGTAGCTTACGAGTATCTTCTACTCATAGTGGCCACGTTTCGCAGCCGTAAAGCAGAATAGAACGAACAACCGCGCAGTATACTCGCCCCTTAACTGATATGACGGTTTTCTTGTCTTCGCCATAGATGACTTAAGTTGTCAAAAGCCAAACGAGCTTTTTGAATCCGTGCAGAGACTTTGCTAGACACCAACCCATTAGGGTTGATCAGATTTCTAAGATAAGTGGTCGACGGGTTTGACTACCTCAAAACTAACTTCATCTGGTTTTGCTGGCGTTGGTGTCGCACTAAGCGCTAGAGCTGAGGCAGCACTAATCGATTGGATCCCCATTAACAGTCGGTTATGCGCTGTTAGATTAGAAAGTTCCATCAAAGTGAGAAGAGATCGGTGTGAGAAACGATATCTTCTCGTCATCTCCGCCTATGCTCCGACACATTGCAGCCCAGATGTAATCGAGGATGAATTCTACCGCCAGTTAACTGTTCTTCTTCGGAAAGTGCGTTCGACAGAAATTGCAGTACTAGCCAGAGTCCTGAATGCTCAGGACTGGCGTCTGGGCGCAAAAAAGAGTCGTTTAGGTAGCCGATGGGGACTTGTTAGTCGCAGGACAGACAGCTGGGACCGTCTACTGCAACTGTGCACAGGCCACAACCAAGTTCCTGGCTAACATTAACCACCTAGCGTCCTCATTCTGCATTTCAAGCCTGGACTCAAATTAATCACATCGCGATCAGCTACCGCTGGCGTGGTTGTGTACAAGACTGCCGCTCCTTTTGGAGTACCTATCTGGACTTTGATTATGCCCTTGTTTGCGCCAATCTTACCTTACTTTTCAGTGACCAACGGATTCATTGTCCTAAACGGATTGATGTCAGTAAATTGATTGCAGCTTCTGTTGCAACTAAGTACCAAACCGAGCTAGCTTCTAGGCTAGTTACCCTTCCACCGAAAAGTATAGATGAGCATAGGTTGCAATTGCATGACACCAAGAAAATGGCGAGTAAATTCGCTTGTGGCTTCGCGAAACGTCCTGCTTATAAGCACTGCGTTTCTTCAGGCTACTTACAACTCATTGAAGCCCGTCGGTCTACTACGGGTGACCGTGAGTTTGACCACAAACGAAGGATGTTACGTAATGAAATTGAACAGAGCTTGCGTAAGGACCGTGAAGCCTGATGGTTGGAGCGTGCTAATGAGCTGGAAGCAACAGCTGCATCTGGTAAATGCCGGAAGCTCTTTCAACTCATCCGGGCCACTAGCAGCAAGAAGTCTGGTGTGAGCGAAACAATCTGTGAGGATGACGGGATGCCAATCACTAGCATCCACCGACGTCTTGGACGATGGACAGAATTCTTCGAAGGGCAATTCAGCTGGTTTGCTGCCCCGGCAGCACCGGTCAGACTGTCCTGCTCTCCATGGCCGGTGACGACTGATCCACCAAATGCGGCGGAAGTCCGCAAGGGACGCTACAAACCCCTGAACCCAGATGGTCTACCTCCGGCTCTTTTTAAAGATGGTGGTGAATTTCAGATTAAGGAACTGACAACGTTGTTTGCAAAACTTTGGGAGCTAAAGAATGTTCCAACATTATGGAATGAGTCGATAGTTTTCCCTATATTTAAAAAGGGTTCACGTCGTTTCTGTAACAACTATCGAGGGATAAGTCAACACCCGCTTGCGTCCAAACTATTGGCTTCTGTCATACTTCGTAGGTTGTTCAAAATCCGAGAAAGATTGACCCAGAGTCTTCACCAGACAGGACTATGTCATCTGCGTATTCTAAGTCGATAAGCGGACCTCCTGGAAGGAGATCAATGCCCCAAAATTCTGTTGAAGAGAGTTATTTCCATCAGTAGGTCTATGATGAAGTTAAACAAAAATGGAGATAGTGGACAGCCTTGTCGAACACCACTTGAGGTTGCGAAATCAGATGACAGTTCGCCATAAGCTCTGATTCGACTAATAATATTCGAGTAAAGAGCACTCACAAGGTTAATGTACTTCTGAGGTACACCTTTCAATGACGAACACTGCCACGGAACCTCTCGGTCTACAGAGTCAAATGATACCTTTAAGTCAAAAAAAACTTATTTTCGGACGCCGATAAACATGCCTGTGTTCTAAAATATAACGCAAGGTGAATATGTGGTTGATGCAGCCACGACCAGGTCAGAAACTAGCCTGATTTTCTCGTGTTTGCAGTTCGTGATTTTTTGTTATGCGTCCAACAACAATTGAGGCTAGTAATCTAGATGCTATATTAGTCAAACTAATCTTTCTCTGGTTACCATATTAAGATTTTAATCCTTTTTATATATTGGGACGATCAGTGATTGCGACCAAACAGAATTACGTTCGGTTTCCAAATTTTAAACAAAATATTAGTCAACCTAACCGCTAAAACTGGACCACCATTCCTAAAGACCTCTGGAGTTAATCCATCTGAACCAGCTGCTCTTTGTTGTTTCGCATTAGCTACAGTTATTTGAACTTTAGAGTCGGGGGACCTACTTTCATATTCCATTTAGGCTATTTGGGAGTGGTGGGTAGCTGTAGAGTAGCTGAAGGCCAGCTGAACTGCTCCTTACTGTTTCGTTCAAAGTTCCAAACGTCTACGCTGAGAGCTGATAGGTGTGCCACCTTCTTCCGAGATTGTCTCACGTACACTTGACTTCTTAATTCGGGTTTCCTTTATTAGTCTCAAAAGCAGTTTAATGTTGCCTACAGACGCTGCCTTCTCCATCCCGTTTGATTTGTTGCTCATCACTGCTTACGATCATTCTATAGACTTTTGGTTAACCTAGATCTGATTTGTTTACACTCTTCGTCGTGTTCGGAGTCTGATGGGATAAGTTTACGGGATTCTATTAGGGTGGTGGATATCGCGGAAAATCACTGGTTTTTCAAAACCCTCTGCTTAAAATCCCTAATATATGTCGCTTAAGTTTCCACAGTCGTTCGTATATCTTTCAAAGTAACACCTTTCTTTCTATGAACTAATACTTTCTTTTTGTACTATATCCTTATATGCAATCTTTCTTTTATGTATCACCACCATTAAATTCATAGAAGTAGTTAATTCAGTGTTAATCTTGTGACAATGAGGTATGGCAACTTGGACTGATGCATAAATGTGCCTGGTCTTACGCTGTAGCTGAATGACGGACTGATTTATTTATTTATTTCAACACATAAATATTGGTACAAGAGGGCACCAAATATATATGCGCCACACTATAATTGTGTGTGGGCTGAGATACTGCCCGGGTACCAGACCGAGGCAGGTAGTTTTCTTAGGGGGCCACACCCCGAGCCTTTGACCTAAAGGTCTGATCTACAAGGCAGTGGAGCATCGTGAGGAGATGCATTCCCATAGTAGCCGGTGACCAACGATTGATTCATACGCCATTCGTTCACTCAGTATACTGGAGCCCATGTGCAACATTGATTTGAGATCCAGTTAAAGCACCAGACATTCGCTTTTCGTCCTCTCATTTTCGTAAACAATATCCCCGTCACAAGAAGGCAGTGAGTAGGACTTCCGTGGCAGAGGCTATATACGAGTGGCCGTGTGAGAACATTTCGAGAGGGAGGGCGGGCCCACCCCACTCTCGGCCATACCAGGGTATTTGGGGGTGGTCTAGCTTCAATTGACTTATGATTTCAAAAAATGACGGACTGAACATTTGGGTCAGCCTTGTTTTCAAAATTTTCCAAGCGTGACTTCAATTGAGGCATGAACCTATTGTTTATCACCAGCTACCATGGGACTGCATCTCTTAACATCATCTCACTGCCCTGCAGATTAGACTTCAAAAGCTCAGAGGGCGGCTCGCTAAGAAAATCATCTACCTCGGTTCGGGCATGCGGGCAGCATTCCAGCGGTTACACAAACCAAATGACTTGTGTGGCGCATATATATATATATATGGTGCCTCGTACGAATGTTTGTGCTTAAATAAATAAGATCGAAAACCAAGACTGAACGATAGAGATATAAATTCTTAATACTCCTGAGTTATAGCTGTACTTGTATAAGTAATACACCAAACTTAGATAAACTGTTAGTTGTACTTCACTATAAGGCATTCATTACGGTCAACTATGTTCAAGATTTTACCAAAGGCAATGGGATGTGTAGCCAGACTCGAGCTAGTTGAAAAGTCATAAAATCACTAGAAACTAACGAAATCCCACAAGGAATCTGAGTTCTTATGGATACGAACGAATTTCAACCAAAGAAATAAACCCAGAATATCGTGGTGACGTTGAAATCAATAAGCTAGTAGTTACAGTTACAGTAATGTGCTGGTTAATCAGCAAGTAGGAACAGTAGGTAAAATACTGTTTTCAGCAATACTTTCAGAGACATTGAAAGTTCCAGGATGAAAAGTGATGCGAATTTCCAGATAATACAAAGTAAAAGAAAACTGAATGTTGTATACTAACTTGCTTTATCTGTGTATCATTAAACACCAGGTGACAATAGTAACCAGATTGAGATGGTTGCTACGATTTAGTAAAACCTTTTAAAACTGATTTTCGATGTTGACCCCTTAAATTTACAAGGAAGTTGATATCCATATAGGGAAACCACAAACAATCAAACGTAACCAACATAACCCTTAAATTTGCCATTTGAAACATGTAATAAGAGGTGCATGAAACGAAAATCACATTCGACAAACATCAGGGTACCCTTACCAAGTAGATGGTAGGTTTTGAGTACAAAAGTTGAAATCGTCGGCTTTCAACTTACAGGTTTTAGGTGAGAACACAGTTTCGCTTATTTCAGCTTGTGGTATCACCATACGAAATACATAACGCCTCGGTAAACAAATTGATTTATGAATAGTGAAACCATAATTAAGTAAATGGCTTTTAGGCGACGTTAAAGAAACCCTAGGACAACCCACCTACTTGCGAGGGTCAAAAGAGAGTTATAAATTAGTCTGAGGAACTAAGATTTAGAATCTAAGACTAGGAAATAAAGGGTTCACACCACGAACTTGCACCAGCTATAATGCCAAAATATTATTTAACCGTATAGGCGAATGAATATCGTGTTAAAATTCAAGACTCGCGATCCTTATCTCCATTGTTTGATCCATAAATGATAAGTGCGCCACGAGTTTAGTGTTTCCCAAGTCATACTACCACTGGGTTAGATTGGGTTGTACAATACGAACTGTTCATCAAAATATTCGATTGTATTGAGAAGTTATAGCTACGCAATTGCCCTATTTTTGGAAAAATTTTATGCTTTTTTTAGGAAGCCGCTATAAAAAATTTTTGGGAAATGCAATAAATTACACTAAGAGATCAGACCTGATCATTCACTTTGAGGAAAACGACTCGTAAATGGTAACGACGCCACTACGCGTAATTTTTGACGATTCTTTGACGAGCTTTGAGAAAAGATCAGACATGCAAAACTAAACTGGAATACAAAGTTGATACTATTAACTGTATCACATGCCCTCTTAACAACCGAAAGGCAGCTGCGACAAAAATGACGGAAAATTTATAATAACAACTGCAAGTTCAAACACTAAATTACCGATATCAATGTGATCAGTGTATAAAGGACAGTAATGATAAGTCCACGTTGATACTAAAAGATATCACGCGCTTCAGTTGTTCGATTCCCAATTAGCTCTTGGCTAGAACAGCAAGTGTAATACTAAATTCCTCACTTAGTTTGAGTTTCAGATTGTTAAAGATTTGTTTTTGAATGGTTTGATTTGCTTTAGAAGTGAAAGTTTCTTATTTGACTCGAAATTATGTTCAATACATAGACAAATCCCGACCACACCCCGGAATCCGGAGCCCTAGAGGTTAATGAAGTGATAAGAGTCAGCTGACAAGGATCTGGGTCTGTGATTCTAAAAACATTTTAACGCCCTTGTGAGTCATCTGTTCCGAAAGTCAATAAAAATAAATGTGTTACAAGTATTCGGTGTTTGACAATGCCTTAAGCAGTAGCAACTTTATGGTCAGAGTATGCAAACTCAATCACATAAGAAGTAAGAAGTGAGGAGGTCCGGAGTTATATTTGAAAGGATATCGACATATCGAGAAGTGATCATTCTAAGTCGGCTAATGATTGTAGGAGACGTGAGGCGCGGTGTACCCACTCGTGATCTGATGCAGATACGTGAATGAGTCTATTAAAACTTATGAAATCAGCATCGAATGTCGAAGACGTACAGAAATATTGATTTTTGGGATTTATTTTCTGCTACATATCACTTCCTTCTGTAGTAGGGTAGGGATGACTCTAACGCGTAGCCAGACAGAAGTTTAAACCCAACGAGTTTTTCGTTAGTAAACACTCCTAAGAGCATGCTACGTTCAACGGCATCTGGTCGTATTTCCATACTATAAGGGATTATGTGGTACAATATGTTAATGAAAAATAGGTACAATGAAAATTTCGATTCACCGTAAGCATCGTCGTTTTTTTAACTTTTCCAACCGTCCTGTAAGTGCATGTCGAATTACAACCGTACATGCGTAAACACATAAAACGGGCGAAAAAAACAAAAATAAACTTTTGTACATGCGTTTCATATACATGAAATAACGTGAAAACAGTTTTCATAGAGTGATTTCTCTGTTTCTCTTTTTGAAAAATTAAAATATACAAATATAAGCAAGCATATTAGCAACAACAAAAACTCTGTTTGTTTTTTTGAATGAAAATACACATACATGAGTATGTGTACATTGAAGTAATGGGGTCAGCATCAAATGTCGAGGACTTATAAAAGTATTTATTTTTGAGATTTACTTACCGCTACAGGGATTTCGAGTGTAAAAATGTTGATAAGTAACGGGAAAGCCATCATCATTTTGTTTCTCCACTAGAGTATTCTTGCTTGAACCACTTAACGAAGGACCGTCCTAGCTTCAATCCTCTAAATCTTTTCCTACAATTTTAAGTTTTTTTCAATGAGCAAGTTACTAGTTTACAATGCTCAATTTATGACTGAATGAACACAACGGAAAACGTCAATGAAGTATTACATTATATGCGTGACCGAAGGCTCCATGTAGTGAATACAGGTTTACAAAGATTCCAGTAACTTCTCTACGCAGTGGTGTAGAATTTCTAATTACCTCTTGGTCAACATGAGTCTGAACAATGGGTAACTAAAAATCATTTTCTGTGTATGCATTTGTTTTTCCTTTGTATTAAGGACATCGCTTCCATTACTTTCTATGTTCGAGTTTAACTTATCTTTTGGTTTCCGAATCGCACTAAATTCCATGACATCATTAAGAATTCGAATATCGCTTCACCATTTCTTTTTTTTAAATTTTGATTTCTCACGACGGCCATAATGGGTGATTGTGTCGTTAATTGAACCTAGTATATTTGAATGGTTGAAAATATTTATGGTTGATAAATACTTTATTTTTCCATTTGATAGGAGGATTTACAATATCGAAAAGATAGACATTAGCACTATTTCTTGAGTGGACAATATTTATAGTTAATTCAATAATTCTGTAACTATTCTATGCTTTACTAACATGACACTATTCCCAGATTATGATGAATCCCTTTCCTCTTAAGTCTAGAAATTGATCCACATGCCTAACGCTTTAATCGCTAAATGTTTCATGGTTTAGTACATAAATAACTCTTACATTAAGTGAGAGTTCCTGCTGTTTATTTCTTGCTTATAATTACTCATTTGGTACAGCTACATGAAAAAACGAAATTACTAACAGTGAAATATCGTAAACCAGAGAGCCGGTCAAGGAAAAAGAAGACAAGACAATCACTGGAATTCAAGAACAGAGGAACAGATGTGTATAGTAGTTTGAGGAACTCTTGAGTAGACCAGCTCCATTGAATCCACCGGACATCAAAGTAGAAGACACATGTCTCTCTACATCTGTCACTCGACCAACGATCGAAGAAATCAGGAAGGCCAGTCATTAAACAAATCAAGCGTGGAAAGGAAGTAATACCTGACAATATACCAGCTGAAGATCTGTCGTCATATAGAGAGGCAATTGCAAATATCAATATCCGTAAGAATCGGTTGTGCACAGACCACATCGTCACACTATGGACCACCGTTGAACAATCAGTTGAGTGAAACTCGTCACTATTCATCAACTTCTTTGATTATGAGAAAGCATTTGACAGCGTGGACAGAAGAATATTATGGAAGGTTCTTCGACACTATGATGAGTGCATGAGAAGATCGTCAACCGGAAATCATTTGACGGACTACAGTACGATGTCGTGCATGGAGGACAACTGACAGATGCATTCCCAGGGAGGACTGGAGTCGGACAAGGCTGCCAACTATCTCCCTTCTCTCTCTTCTGGTGGTCGACTGGATTATGAAGACTTTGACATCTGAGAGAAATCACAGAATACAATGGACAGGTTGGATGCGACTAGTCGATTTGGACTTCGCAAATGACCTGGCCCTTCTATCCCATACACAGCAACAATGCTGGTCAAGGAAAATAGTGTAGCAGCAGCCTCTGCATCAGTGAGCTGCAACATACTGAAAGGAAAAATCCTTAAATACACAATGGAGGACACTAATCGAATCATACGTGTTGAAGAAAATCTGGAAGAGGTGGAAACTTACGTACGCAGACGGCATCACCGATGAACAAGGAGGGTCGGATGTAGATGTAAAGGCACGGATTGACAAAGCAAGGGCCTCATTGCTACAATTGAGGAACATATGGAACCCGAAACAGCTGTCGGCCAATATTAAAGTCACAATCTTCAACACGAACGTTAAGGCAGTCCTAGTGTACAGAGCTGAAACTTGGAGAACTACCACAACCATCATCATAAACGTAAAATTATTTATAAACAATTGTCTACGTAAGATAATCAGTGTCCGTTGGTCAAATACCATCAGCAATAGTATAATATTTGAAAGTATTTGAATTATCGTATGAACTAGGAATTCAGAATTAACGCCACTGAATTAAGAAGTAAGACACAAGCACAAACGAATATATTGTATTTGGAATTTGAAATCGAACAGTCAACGAGTACAAAAGAATCCTTAGTTAATTCAAACACCACAAATAGCCTACTATGGGAGGAAGGAGACCAACTTCCAGCTAAGGAGGAAATTATGAAAAGACAGTGGAAGTGGATATGACACAATGAGGAAATAATCAAACTGCATCACGAGGCAAGTCCTAACTTGGAATCCTGAATGGAAACGGGTAAAAGGAAAGCCGAAGAACACACTGCTCTGAGAACTGGAAGCAGACGCGAACAGGATGAATAGTAACTAAAAAGGATTACCCGGGATAGGGTTGGATGGAGAGTGTTGATAGGTGGCCTATGTGACTTGACGAGGGGTAACAGGTGTAAGTGTGTGGCGCATATGCATCTGGTAACATTATGTACCAATATTTATGTATTCAAATAAATAAATCCGTTAATGCGCTATTTTGTAACGTTTCCCAATGAAATCTTGATGCTGCATATTTACTCATGAGTTCTGTTCTCATTCGTTCGGGCTTCCGACTTTGTGAAATATACATTTCCTTCGGCTGGATCTAGTCTTTTTTTTATAGTTAGCAGGGATAGGGAGCATTGGTACAGTTCAGGTTATCATGTTATTGTGTTGCTGAGTTTGTTTCGTTCCCCGGTTTATGTGATATCGTAATCTATTGAAACTTAGCATAAATTGTACGATAATGACTAACTAAACTAGCTGTATACCATATATATAGACTAGAAAGTGAACTATAGGTGAAAGAAGTTACATACATCTCATGTGTATAAATTTTACCATCTTATTTCAGTAGAGCTCGATGGAGATAATTGAAAATACTAATGTTTATCTACATAATAATTTACACAAACATTCCCGTTCTTAGATAATAGGACAAAACAATTTAATTAGTAATTAGAATGTATCTTTTAAACATCGCTAACTGAAACAGTAATAGTGAATTTACAATGATAAAACCTGGAGAAATTATCGAAACATTCATTTACTCTTACATTATATAAATAAATAATATATTTGTAATATCCCAATGAGTAGAAAAATTAGATTTTCTGACGTTCCGTGACCTAGTGTAAGCCACTTCTTCAGAGAATAAATAAACAAGTTAAAATTAATCCAAGTTTAATTAGTACAACAGAACGGCACGAACATTTTATAATTACAAAGAACGGAGAGTAGCTGAAGCGTCCTACTTCGCTCAATAGAAAAGAAAGCCTTACCATACATTTCACTTGAACTATCTATCCTAGCCACCTAGTCTGATATTATTTACAATTCACACCATTATCTTAGAAATTAAACACTATCCTTTCTCATCATAAAGGTCACACAGTTTTCATCCTTAACAGTGCACAAATACACATGTACATATTTGCATACATGTATCTTACGAATCACCTTGACCGTAATGACATGACATTGATTTATTCAGACCTGTTTTTTGATTGATCACATAATATTCGTGCTGCCCCGTCGTACTACTTAAATTTGGTTGTTTATCCTCTGAAGAAGTGGCTTACACCAAGTCACGAAACGTCAGAAAATCTAATTTTTTCTACCCATTGGGATATTAAAAATATATTATTTATTTATAACAATCTACCCAATGCTCAATTTATTCGAAATTATCAAATCAAACCTTGGTAATGATATCTAATATCTTATGTTTTCCAAAAAATGTTTGGAACGGTTAGATAATATTTAAGACAGTTTTGCCTCATAAGTAACGAGTGCAAACTAATTTTAATCTAAGCAGCACGGTTATATCAACAGTGTTAGTGGTCAGCTACAACGTAGGACCGGGGACATATATGCATCGGTTCAAGTTGCCATACCTCAGTAGCACAAGATGAACACCAAATTCATAGCAGTTACTTCAACGGTAGTAATGTATAAAAGATTGTGTATAAGGAAACAGTACAGGAAGAAATTAGAAAGGTGCAAAGTAATTTTAATCTCACGTTTTAAGGGAAGATAGAGTGTATACACCGACGCCATTGTGATCGATTCCGAGCCATGTCACCCAAAGTATCCAACCATTGGTTACGATAGTCACACGGACCCCAACCAAGTAGTCGGCATTTACCAACATGGCTCAGACTAGAAGTCAGTGACTTTAATGAATGATGCCAAGTTTTAGTTTGGTCGCCCTTAACTTTCTTCCAGCCATCTCCATCACTAGTCAGCATTGCGTGTCGTGGTAAACGGTGTTCAGGCATAAGCAACATGTTGCCCAACCATCTTAGTCGATTAAGATTTACAACCTCATCGGCTTTTGGTGGAGTTTTGTTCTCTGAGCTGGATGGTTTGGTCGTGGAGCTTTCATCGTTCTTCTGAACGACATCATCAGCACAAACTTCAGATAGAAGTGAAGTGTTCGAATTTCTCCATATGTGTTTCACAGCTTGTTCTGTGCACCTCGATGTTGATTGGTTCTTGTTGACCTTGAACCTGTCATTGTTTACTTCACTTCTACCTGAAGTTAGTGATGATGATGTCGTTCAGAACAATGATGAAAGCTTCACGACCAAACTATCCAGCTCAGAGAACAAAACTCCACCAAAATCATCCACCTGAGCTACAAATCTTCTCCACAACCTCATCGACTGATTTACCATCAGTGTTAATAAGGTTAATTTGAAAGCGTTTTTCAAAATCATCAACGATACTTGTTCAGAATACTATTGATTTTATTGAGATAGCTAAATCTAATTTTGTGTCTAAAAGTAGTTACCATTACATAAAAATCTGTTTTTTGTAATATGGCCTCTAACTTCGTATTATTATTTTTCCCACTAATTTCACTATTATTACAACCTTTATTTGGACTTTACACTTGATTATAAGCTTTGTATATCTTTTTATGTATTCATAATAATTATCTGTTACATGTATTTCATGGTCAAACTGATCGAAATAGCCTGTGGAAACATATTTCATTGTTCAAAACAAATAACACCTTCTTATTACCTTCATATTTGTAATACAAACTAATCAAGTATGCTGATGACCTTTTAGGATATCGTGGAATAAGAGATGAAATTTCTAGACATGATATCAGCGTATTTCCTGGGCATAGTAAATCTCCAACGGCATGTGAAACATTAGCAATGCGATTTGCTTCTTTATAACTTTTTGTAACAATGTTTGAAATTGATTTAATAATAAATCGATTAAGAATTTCCTTTGCCACATTATTCACTATGAAATGCATTAGAAATAGATTAACTAATATCTGAGCTATGACCAAGGTTTGACTTATTCAGGACATTTTAGTTAAATATTATTTTGAACTGATAATCGTTAACTAATGTATCGAATAAATTATGATCACGAGATTATAATCGAAATTCGTTTGATTAAGTAAACACAATATACGAATGACACAGATTTATTTGACGCTATTACACTGAACGATATGAATGAAGGATTATAAAAGTAAGATTCATAAGTTGTTATGCATTATAGTCCTATTGTATAATTGAATGAGTTAAAACTACAAAGAATTTATGTTAATTATATTTCTGGTTTGAATATTAAATGAGGTAAGCATTTTATGGCATATCTGACATAGGTTTTTCGAAGGGATTGTAGAGTAAAATGCTCAATAATTAGTTTTTAGGGAAAAATAACTCCTCAGACTTGTGAAAATTACTTCCAAATTATACAAAACTACGTAATGCATTAATAATAGTATGTCCACTAGTGGATAAATTTGAGAAAAATGTCCAAAAACTGGAATTTTTAGAGTCAACTTCAGGTTAAGAGTAACTCACTATTGAGGTCGCATGGGAATCAAGTTATAATAGTGACTGATTTTCTTACTATCGATACCTTGATCTACAATCAGTATTTTCATTTGCTTACCTATGATACCTAAAGTTCATAGGTTCGTTCCTACACAAATGCCAACAGTCTTTAATTTGGAGAAAACAGCTTTCAAAAACACCCTGGCTTTTAACAAATCCCTGTGTAATAAAAACGTGTTTATTAGAAATTACTACTACACAACTACTCATAAAAACAATAACGATTTTAATGATAAATGTATTTTTCGTGATATCCCAATGAAATCTGTATTCTTGACACTTTGTGATTTAAGTCACTTCTTCAGAGTATATAAATAAATGACTGAAATAAAATTGAAACAAGTTTAAATAGTACAAATGAAGCAAAGTAGAATATCTTTAGTACAATTAAAACCATAATAGTTATGAACGTGCCCATGTAATTGTTATTTTTAATCAAGGTGATTCAGTATGAGATGGTTATGAAAAACTTAAAATTTGTTATATGAAGCATTAAGTTTGAAATTGCTGGTATGTGTGCGCAGGTCGTGTGACGAACGAATAGAGTCGTGGTTGTTTGGACAGACAGTCCAAGTTGAAAGAATAGGTATAACTTCTTTCTAACTGAGGGGAAGGGATTTAGCATTATATGAAACGCTTTGGTTACTCGCCTTTTCTATTGTTGGAAAAACCTTTCTGAATTATTTGGATATTCTTTACAATGATTTGGTGGTTATCGAATATAATATATACTGCTAATGCCCATTTAATTGTGGATTTCTCAGTTCCACGGGATTGTGAAGTCTTTTTGTGCAGCTCAAGAGTTTGCTGAGTCGAGTCGAAATTTTACGAGGACTCTAACGTAAAACGCATCACAATCGATACGACCAAACAGTTTTCTGTATATTTAAATGAGATCTTTTCCCTAGTTCGAGCTAGAGTATTTCAAAGTGTTGCTTATTTTATAGAAATCCTTAATTCTGTCTCCAAAGTGGATTAAAATGCTTCTCTTATACCATGGCAGTAAGGTGAAACTAAGGCACTAATCCAAGATGTTTCATTAGAATTGTTATTTAAAGTCAGATCGTTTTGTTTCAATATGTCTTTTTAATAATATAACGATGTAGCTTGGATACTGAATAAAATTTATAGTACTGGGAAGAACTATATAGGTTATAAGTGGATAAATTAGCAGCTTATATTATTCAAAATATAATAAATAATATATCCTGAAAATAATGATTACAGAATTCATGCCAGTTAACAGGCATAATTGACTTGATGTATATGCATTTGGTTGTGACTGCTTATTTTACTAAACATATATATTCACGGCTTAATTATACTAACTGGATGACCATAGGGTGATTATTTGAGCAACAAGTCAGTGTAAATAGAAAAATTTATTTGGCAGTAAAATGAGGTATGATTTAACGGATATTAGGGAAGTGTTGATTCAAACATTTCTGTATAGTTTATCGATATGAACCTTAATCCTTTATTTCAAGTCAACATATAAATTCACTGAATCATTCATTTCTAATAATTTGAGACATTTCATCAACATACGCTTGATTAGCTAGACGCACTGAGTGGAATTGTAAACAATCAGCTATAGTTGTTTGTATTATCTAGCTCCAATAAAAGATACAAGAGATCAGTATTGGTGAAAATAGTAGCCATATTTAACGCACAATTGTCAGATGACATACTTGTTAAATGTATGTCAACCTTGGACCGACATATTATGTATCATGTTGCATGGAATTCGAATGAAAAGCTCTGGTAACCAAAATGTATTAATGTATCTCAATTATATGGTACTGATCTTTAGACTCCATACAATGACAATTGATGTGTTTTCTTCCCCTAAAACTATTATTATTCGTTATAAAACAAACGGGAGTTCACCTTTAATGACTGCCTTCATTTCGAAATCTCTTACAAAAATGAAATGGTGTAAGAGATTGTTTCGAGTTGGATCACATTACTAAAGATTTCAAAACTACGAATCGAACAGGGTGATGGGAATGGTCAGTGTAAATCTAAAGAAGTAAATTGCTAATGGAACTAACCACTGGCTAGCATAAAACATTAACTTTAAAAGTTTCTCCATCGTCCGATAAACAATAATATGTCTGGCTAAAATACTAGAGGACAGAAACATATGTCAATCTTGTTGGTTTGTTTCCAATGTAGAAGTAGTGTCTAAATCTATAGGTAAATTGTAGTAACAAAATAATAAACAAAAACGTGAAAGTATCTCAGTTAGAACACAAAGACCTGAAACCATACAAATATATTAGTAAGTACAATTTACTCAAAGAACTACTCGACAATACATATAGAAAGAGGAAAATAACATGATAAAATAAATAAACGAATAACAATAAATTTCTTCTCTTTGGATATGTGTAAAACATACATCATAATAAGGCAGTAAGCTAAAATATCACAGACAACGAATAACTTTGATTTGTAAGAAGCATTAGAATATGAATGTATTCCTTATCTGACAGGAATCGAAAATGAGGGACTTAATGTGTCACAAGTATACTTATATGTATATATACAAATAAACAGAATTCTGGTTCATAAAACAAGTACAACAAATAGCATGTAAACATGGAAATCTTTCTAACAAAATTGAAAAAAGGAAATGAATATTAAAAAGAGAAGAGGAATAACTTAAACAGAAAATAATAATGCATTGATAGTCATCACTTACCACCAGGTATACCACAAATTTCCAGTGAAAGAGGTTTTTTCTGACGTAAAAACATTTTTAAAAATAAACCAAAGAAAACAACCACTACACCACATATAGCAATCGGATGTAATTCATGAGAGAAAATAATACATGAAAGTATCATAGATAGGCCAAGTCTTAATGTCATGATTAATACAAATGTGGCCGCTCCAAATTGAGACAAAGTAAGAAAAATGAACAATTGACCGAATGCTGAACATAATGATGATGTTAGAACATCGAAAATAAATTTGGGACGATTTAATCCAAATAGTATACTTGGAATTAATTCACCATGTACAATCAATGAGATTAAAGTGAGAAATATAGACCAAATATTGACACCAGCCATTACCTAGAAAGAAATAGACAGAAAGCTAAAAGTTAATGTACAAGTAAAAACAAGCAATTTATAACAATATTGGCTAGACGAGATATAAAATTGATTTCCAATGTTTGATTAAACTGGATAGATACTAAACACTGGGTTTAGATGCTTCAAAGTGATTTCCGAAAAGTCGTTGATACAAAATAGAAATTTTTTTAAAGCTCGTAGAGCATTTATGTTATGTATATAGTTTTAAACTGACAGTTTTATTACACCACTTTAGTTAAAAATGTCGGAAAAATCGACCAGCATTATAAACGATGAAACAATAGATATGTTTAATAGCCTGGTGGATAAACCTGCAAATGATTACTATGTTTTATGTGATGTGCTTTAATTCTATTGAAGAAATCTCTTATCAATAAACTGAAGATAAAATAAACTAACATTTTCCTTGACTTGGATTAATCGAAAAATAGATTTATTGACTAGAGTATTTTATATAGAAAGAACTATTAGTTTTGTGAAAAAAGTAGGCTAGTTTGTTTAGTATAGTCAGTTAGTAAGTGAAATAAGTATCATCGATGAAAATCATGTTAGGACATGAAGGTTAGTGATGTCGACCTTAACAGTTTAATGGTTAAGTTATTGCTTCAAAGTCTAGAGATTACAAGCTCGATTTGACGTAGGCTCCTATGTGTGCACTTCTGAACAGTAAAGTGATCCTCGGTTTTAATTGTTTTCTAGAAGATGTTGTTTAGTAACCAGAAACTGCTTCCCAACTAAAGAATGTTAGAAATTTAGCGTAATACAGTGGTTTCAGTTGCTAATTATGACAGGTAATTAAATACATGTAATACTCTCATAATATATATCCGCAACAAATTTACTTTGTGAAAGAGTTACTAAGATTTTCAGCTAAAACACTTGAACCACTTCAAATGATCTACTATTGAAACAAAATAAGAGTATTCAAGACAATGTAACTAATTAGTAAAGCAAATGTGAATATAGAATGTAAATTAACTTCTGTACATAGAGTGGGGTTTTTTAATGCTTAGTAATTTAGGCGTTAACTAATCTATTATCCGTATGAATTACATTACTAATGGAATGGTTCCATGAAGAACCCGGTTCGAATAATTTAGAATGGGTACTATACAATTCATACATCTATGTACACATGTACACACTGACACACTTTTCACTCTTCTGTTAGAATGTATTTTCATACAAAAGGTCACAATAATTTGCATAGCTTATTGATAAAAATTTCTTTGAATAATTTATTGATTAGCTTGAGAACAGACTGCTGAAGCTAATATCAGATACTATATCGTAAGCTATCGAGGTGAAAACAGTCAAAACAACCAGCTCGACAATAAGATGGACGAACACTATGGTTATATAGAGATTACAAATCTTAACGTGATTATATGGAAGTATGTACTTCGCAAACAAACAAATTCCATGTTAATAATCGATCCATTTGACAAATATAGAAAGTATTAAGAAATAAAACTCCGCCTGTAGCTCTTATAGGGTTACTGCCGGTCCCAAGCCCGGGTAAAGGAGGAGGGTTGGGCGTGGGGTTAGCGTCCCCATCCCGTAGAAAACTAACTCGCTAAAAAACGCTTACCAGAAAAAATAATCCACACCATTTAAACTCTTCCCTGGGAGTTAGAAGGTCTTCATTTAGAAGAATTATGACGCTTCATGGTGAAAGCCGAGTTCCTTCGGAACCCACAAGGCCGATGCTCCTTCTAACAACCAGAGCAAATATTTTTATAGGTACATGGAACGTTCGAACAATGTGGGAAACCGGGAAGACCAGTCAAATAGCAATGGAAATGAGGAGATACAACTTAGCAGTACTGGGAATCAGCGAAACCCACTGGACCCAAGCTGGACAGAAAAGGCTAGCTACGGGAGAGATGCTGCTATACTCCGGTCACGAAGAGGACAATGCTCCACACACTCAGGGAGTCGCTCTTATGCTGTCCAAAGTAGCACGAAATGCACTTGTAGGATGGGAATCCCACGGATCCAGAATCATCAAAGCATCATTCAAAACAAAGAAGGAGGGGATCTTAATGAATATTATCCAATGTTATGCACCCACAAATGATAGCAACGACGACATTAAAGATCAGTTCTACGAGCGGCTGCAGTCAGTCATTGAGAAATGCCCAAGGAAGGACCTAACTATTCTGATGGGAGATCTAAATGCCAAAGTCGGAATAGACAACACTGGATATGAAGATATTATGGGACGACATGGACTGGAAGAAAGAAACGAAAATAGAGAAGGATTTGCAAATCTATGTGCATTCAACAAATTCGTCATAGTAGGCACAATATTTCCACACAAGTGTATACACAAGGCTACATGGATCTCACCGGACCACACTACAGAGAACCAAATAGATCATATTTGCATCAACAAAAAATTCCGAAGGACAATGGAAGATGTGAGAACCAGGAGAGGTGCTGACGTAGCTTCAGATCACCACCTAGTTGTAGCCAATTTAAAACTGAAGCTAAAAAAGAACTGGACAAGTGGACAAACAGCACTACAAAGGTTCAATACAGCCTTCCTTCGAGATACTGACAAACTCAATGAATTCAAGATAGCTCTCAACAACAGGTTCCAAGCCTTACAAGATCTACTGAAAGAAGAAGAAACTAGTATGGAGGACAACTGGAAAGGCATCAAGGAAGCATTAACTTCAACGTGTCAAGAGGTTCTGGGTCTAAAGAAATACCATCATAAGGAATGGATCTCTACAGAAACACTGGACAAGATCAAAGAAAGGAAGAACAAGAAGGCAGCAATAAACAACAGCCGAACACGAGCAGAGAAAGTCCAAGCACAAGCTGAATACACAGAAGCAAACAAACAAGTGAAGAGGAGCATTAGAGCCGACAAGAAGAAATACGTGGAAGAACTAGCAACGACGGCAGAAAAAGCTGCTAGAGAAGGAAATATGAAATAGCTTCACGATACAACGAAGAAACAATCAGGGAAATACAGTAAACCAGAGAGACCGGTCAAAGACAAAGAAGGCAAGCCAATCACCGAAATTCAACAACAGCGGAACAGATGGGTAGAATACTTAGAGGAACTCCTGAATAGGCCGGCTCCAATGAATCCACCGGACATCGTAGCGGCACACACAGATCTTCCCATAGACGTCAACCCACCAACGAAGGAAGAAATCAGAATGGCCGTCAGACAAATTAAGAACGGGAAAGCAGCGGGTCCAAACAACATACCAGCTGAAGCACTGAAGTCAGACATCGAAGCAACTACAAACATGCTTTACCTTCTATTCAAAAAGATTTGGGAGGAGGAACAAGTGCCGATGGACTGGAAAGAAGGGCACCTCGTCAAGATTCCAAAGAGAGGAGATCTGAGCAAATGTGAAAACTACAGAGGCATTACACTACTGTCAATACCAGGGAAGGTCTTCAACAGAGTGTTGCTGAACCGGATGAAAAATGCAGTAGACGCCCAACTTCGAGATCAACAAGCTGGATTCCATAAGGATCGATCATGCACAGACCAAATTGCAACACTACGGATCATCGTCGAACAATCAGTTGAGTGGAACTCATCACTATACATCAACTTCATTGATTATGAAAAAGCATTCGACAGTGTAGATAGGACATTATGGAAACTTCTTCGACACTATGGAGTTCCTGAGAAGATTGTCAACATTATCCGGAACTCATATGGCGGACTACAGTGCAAAGTCGTGCTTGGAGGACAGCTGACAGATGCATTCCAAGTAAGGACCGGAGTCAGACAAGGCTGTTTACTCTCTCCCTTCCTCTTTCTTCTGGTGGTTGACTGGATTATGAAGACCTCGACATCTGAAGGAAAACACGGAATTCAATGGACAGCTCGAAATCAATTAGACGATTTGGACTTCGCAGATGACTTAGCCCTCCTATCATGTACACAGGAACAGATGCAGATGAAGACAGCCAGTGTAGCAGCAGTCTCCGCATCAGTAGGCCTCAGTATACACAAAGGGAAAACCAAAGTCCTCAAATTCAAAGCGGAAAACAACAATCCAATCACTCTTGATGGCGAAGCTCTGGAAAATGTAGAGTCCTTCACATACCTAGGAAGCATCATCGATGAACAAGGAGGTTCAGATGCAGACGTCAAGGCAAGGATTGGCAAAGCAAGGACAGCATTCCTACAGTTAAAGAACATATGGAACTCAAAACAACTTTCAACCAATATCAAAGTGAAAATCTTCAATACCAACGTCAAGGCAGTTCTACTGTACGGAGCTGAAACTTGGAGAACTACAACAACCACAACCAAGAAAGTACAAGTATTTATAAATAGCTGTCTACGCAAGATACTCAACATACATTGGTCGGATACCATCAGCAATAGCCTTCTATGGGAGAGAACAAACCAACTTCCAGCTGAAGAAGAAATTAGGAAAAGACGATGGAAATGGATAGGACATACATTACGCAAATCGTCAAACTGCATCAGGAGGCAAGCGCTAACTTGGAATCCTGAAGGGAAGCAAAAAAGAGGAAGGCCAAAGAACACATTGCGTCGGATAATAGAAGCAGATATGAAAACGATGAATTACAACTGGACGGAGCTAGAAAGGATTGCCCAGGACAGGGTTGGATGGAGAATGCTGGTGAGCGGCCTATGCTCCTTCACGACGAGTAACAGGCGTAAGTAAGTAAGTATTAAGAAATAAGTTAATCCTTTGAACTGGGCTTATTTCTACAACGGGTTAATTTGAAATTACTGAAAAAATTTAGCATTGATTCGATCCGACAACTATTTTTGGGTAATTGCGTTATTATATGACATAAATGTCGATTAATGGACATGCATAACTCAGCCAGTAATAAGGTTATAGTTTTATAATTGTGTATAAATGAGATTTATTGGTTAATAGAGTAGTGAGGAAAATGTTTTGAATATATAGTTAATTCCTAACTATTAAACATTAATTATTTATTAATATTATTGACTAGTTTAAATAATATTATACTACGAAGTCTTAATCTAGAAGATTGATCACTTGTATTGTGGAGACAGTTATTTGAATTATACTATAAACAATATTGTATGCAGGTTTGAAATTACTTTTCAGTCTTTGTAAGAAAAGTAAATATTTCAACAAATATTACGCCCTTAATTAGGTGATACATCTCTGGATTGGGTTTTCAGACGCCAATATTATAGTTAAGTTTCATTTGCTGTTAGACAGTTTAGTCATAATCATCGTCATCGCCAAATGTCTGTTTAAATATGAGTTTGTGGAGTGGTAAACGAGCGTGTGACTCAGTGGTTGAAAGCTAGATTGGCTGGACGAAAGAATTACAAGTTCTATGAACTACGAAAGATGATAACAGAAGTTCAAGAAGCACCTAAGCAATATTAGATATTATGAACTAAATATTCATTTTACAGTCAGAGCAAAAAATTACTTACGAAAATGCATAACAGGTCATAATACCATGTAAGTTTAATTTAATAAATTTAATAGATTGAATCATGCTCATAGCTTTTATAAAAAAAAACATCATGATGAATGTGAAGAACAATTCTTAATGGATAAGTATCTGTGAATTTATAGCGCGCCCGTGTTTTTTTTAATGTTCATTTTCGAGCATTTTTCTGTTTATTTAGTGAATGAATGCTATATTTAAAGGTATTAATTGTTTTTAATTTCAAGTCATACCTTATAATTCCCTTACTTGGGATGCGTTACAGTGGTGTGTTCATAAAAGATATATTTATATAACAGTAAATGATTGAAATGACATCTCTTGTGAAAATTATGTTCTTATATACAGCATTCAAGCACTACTAAATGAACGAAAATCTTTTTGAAAATGTTAAATATTGTACTTTTAATGAATGTTGAAAAATAGTTCTCTTCACATCAGTGATTCAAATTTTAAGATTTAAAAAAAACTGTATTATAATACAGTTAAAAATACTCAATGTATATTAGTGAGATATTGAATTATATTATAAAAAACCTCTTAACTAATGTGAAACAAAATAACATTTTCCTTAAAGAAATTTTAGTCAATTTACTAACTTGTAATGAAGTGAGTTTATATGTTTGAAACATATAATCTTGCCAATTTGATGTGAAGGAATCGCAAACAATATAGCCAATAATCAATAGATATCCACTAAATGATAATAGAAATTGAGTATTATCAATCTTTTCATTTGAAAGTTGAGTTTGTTCAGGATTAGTGTAAAAAAACATAACCATACCTAAACAAATAATAGCTGGAATTGTTTTGTTTTTTATTCAGGAAAAAAAAATCGAGAAAGAATAAAAGGTATTCAGATGAAATAGTAACACAATTAATAATTTTATAATATGATACACATGATATGTGTCAACAATTTGAAGCGAATGCAATAGGATATAGTCCTATGGATTAATCTGTGATAAAGTACACAATGATAATTGTTGGTCAATAAAATTAATTGACTTTTAAATAGTTTATCCTATTACATTCTAGGAATGTTTTTTAGTAGTTTTACTTGAACAATTGAAGGTTGTAGAGAATTGAACTGATGAGTTTTTCAAGCGACAGTTAATTGTCTACAGTTAAAGTAAATAAAATTGGAACAATCGGGGAAAAATAATCGGATAAACTTGAAATTCATCAAGTGGAGCATGATGAAACCAAAATATGATATCAATCCTACTCTATGTAGCTTATAGTAGGCTATGAACATTTTTATTGTACAGTGCGAAATATTTACTCGAACTAAATGGCAGAATGTTAAGCCATTCAAATATTTTATTGAGATTACTGACGTATTTAAGTCAGACAATCATTGGAAACTTGGAAGCATTGGACAGTCGTTTCATGATCCAACAATCTCTATAACCCTTTGAGGATAATTCAAGTATCTATGTATCCTGTCAAGTTTTAACCTACTCAGATATGAGCTAATTGGAATAAAATAGTGTCGTATCATTTGGTTAAGTTGAGATATGTGAGAAGAACATAACTTATAGGATTTTAGCAGTGGACATATAAGTAATAAGGATGTAATATGGTGTTTTATTCTTATCTAGATACCATCCAAATGTGAAGATCAATTTTGATTAGATCTCAATTCAATATATACACGTATTATAGATATCGTCTTACTGTTGTGAAATTGGTAAATTAACTAAATCCAGTATAGGATAATTGACTTATGTTATGCACATTCACTGAATAAGATTCTTGATGTTTATATACACTATATTGGCTATCTTAGTGTATCATAGGAAAACATTTTATCGATAAGTTCATCTGTCCATAAACTGACGTAAATTCTTTAGGTAATACAAACAAATAGCTATAATGTACCTAATTTTTACAAGTTGGTCCATTCATGAATACAAAACATTATTTATCGTGAGGTTGTGTACTAGAATCGACATATCATGAAAATATGATTAATAAACAATAACTTCGATAATTCACAACTAACGATAATACTATAATATAGTTCAAAACAAAAGTCAATCACTAGACACTTCCAACATGATCATATGAATACAAAATAAGTCAACAACAACAACAACACCAACACTAAATATAAATATATAATTACTTACCAGCTGTAAAATATTCTCGCCAACTATACAGTTTCTTTTGAATAAATCTACCCATAAACATTACTGGTAAAACCTTGCAGGCTTTAAGAATAACCTGAAATTTAAATGAAAATTAGAATTGCGTATATTTGTAACTTTTAATTTTAATTTAAAAATGAACAGTTATTGTTTTTTATCTTGATATAGTAACATTAAACTAGAGTAAACTGTATGTTGTATGTATTACACTAGAATATTTGCGGATTAAGCCATTAAAAAAATAATTTTTGAGGATTAATTTATGATAAATCCATGGCTGTGAAAATTCCAGTCCTCATCAGTTAAATAACAGGAATGGTTGCATCAATGACTCAACACGGACCGCTCATTATTTCTAATAACATCTGAGTACTAGGAATGTAAAACACCTAATGACATTATTAAGTTATAAAATGAAAAGATCATTATTAGATAAGCATAAAATCAAACCTTCAAATTAAGACAAAACACAAATTATTTCGGTATATCCTTAGTGTAATAATTTTACTTCGGATTTAATTATATCATGCTGTAGTGAACGAAAACACAAATGGAGACAATCGAATGTATTTGAACACAAAATTGCAGAACGTCTTATTAAAACCTGAGAACCATACAGTAAATACTTTACATGCAAAATATCAATCAATCGTCCCAGACTTCAGTGTTCTTTCGTTTTCACATTAATCACCCTCTGTTCTCGTTCGCTTTTCCTCGACCTTCGTAACCTTCTGTCGCCAGGCACTTCACTTCGGATTGATGATACGTACTACTTATAACTGTCAACATCGGTAGCACACACCACAATGCTACATAATTCTTATTAAATTACGGGTTTGTGTGTAATTATTTAATTTTAAGATGGTCTTAATCATACACTAAATTTAGCTAAATAACCATTGAAAAGTAAGAGGTATTTATTAAAATATTGATATGCATTGCTAAGGTGTCCCATAAGACGATGAAGCAGGTATCCACAGCTCGCTTAGTTTCCAATGGTTTGAATAAATTGAATTTACTGTGTAATTTAAGTAAGCCGATAACATAATACTGGCCAAAATTCTCTGTGCATAATACACCTGGCTAGTGAATTATTTTTAATGGTGACAACGAGTTTGGGATAAACAAGTTTTACTTCAGGTTTAAGTTGGTTTATTTATCTGAATTTTGGACAATTAAACATAATGTGTGTTGGAGAAAGAAAAGTTTTGTAGTGCCTAGATAAGAATATTGGAACAAATCCACGAAGTTAGGACTGGTATTATTTATCATGTTTAGATTTCTATTACAGTTGATATTATTTCTTCGTTTTCTCTTGTCATTTGGTTAAACATGTCGCTATGCTGACATGATGACTTGGGCCAGTAGACACTGGTGTCAGATTCAGTGTTGATCATAATTGACTGATTAGCAACATGAACTATGCCACGAATTACAAACTAGTCAGAAAAAGTTTACGTTTTAATGGAAATCGGTGGTTATAGTCAGAGAGCGGGTTAATAAAAATGACATTTTGGACAGACAATAAAGCGTTAAGTTTTACACTGATCATTTGATATTGGAGTCTTCACAAACGTCAGAAACAATTACTAATGTGATATGGTAATATCAATTAAATGATACCTATTTATGCCAGCAATGTTTTCCTTTAAACTGTTATGTATACCGTGATTTTCATTTCTAGAGACGTAAAATTTCTTTTGAAAAGCCCTACCTCACTTGTAGTTTTCATCGCTTAAGTATCATTGTGTACTAGCCGTTCAATTTACTTAGTACCATTAGATAGGCTTTCATATTAGAATTAGATACCATCGTCCGTAATTGTCGACCTAATTTACATATGTCATAACAACATTACAACAAAATCATTGCGTTGCATTCATCATTGCTGAAACACCTCACATTATTTATGTGTTCAGTGGTGAAGTAAAGAAGAATATTGTCAATTTCTAACAAAAAGATGCTGAAAAGTAGGCCTAATCAGTGGTAGAAACTTTTTTAAAGAATAGGTGATAAAATACGTACCAATAACCCTTACTACTACAGCAAATAAATAGAGAGAATATTTATGTAAAAACTCCTCGATACCTGAAAAAGGAACTTCATTTAAGCAATCCAGAATGCAAGATTGTCACAAACAAAAGCTGAGTGCCTAAATTATACAACTAAGAGAAACAACATCTATAAAATGAGTCAATACCACAAAAATAAAAAAGTGTGGAACATAGAACTGAAGACAAATTCACTGAAGTTTTAGTCGATAAAAGGTTAGTGTTTGAATAACTTACCTGGCTGGGAAAGGAAATGTAAATGAGGGCCTCATACTGACACCAGCTACTGATCACATTACTGATAGAAGCATATGCAAACTCGATGAAAGGAGCTTTTTGACCTTTTTTCCAAGGGTTAACAAGTAACCCAATATGTAGAAAGTGTAGAGGTATCAAAATAATTAATGCCATCGCACGATTACAGAAAACAAGATACTGTGAATTTTTAAACCTCTCATTGTCATACATTTTGGTCATAATTCTCTCCTACAGAAAAGTAAACAGACTTTAACCTTGAGCAATAAAAACAACCAACTTTTACATAATGGAAAAGCCAACGAATTTCTCTGTTTAGACTATTGAAAACCTATGATGATAATGATAATGCATGCATTCTATCAGTCATTCATTTTTTTGTATTTCTTGTAAAATCTTCTGAAAGACTTCAAAATCACAATACTCTAACAGTTACAAATATCAACATCGTCATTTACTTGTCAGCACTTAATGATATATTGTTTTCCCAACGTTTATCCGGCATCCTTATGTCATGAAGCATTTATATTAAATCAAATAAAGACCCCAAAACTGCATTTTCTAAGTCGATCACCAGATATTATCTTTAAGAGGATGTATAAGGACTTCTTTGAAATAGATGCCAGAAGTGTATAAATAATTATCAGTACCTAATTCTGGAAATACACCCTACATACACTAAACGAAAACAGTATTTTGCAGTCAAATCCCTTGACAAATTTAAATAGAGAAATAACAAAACGGTCAGCAGAGTAAAATGAATTCATTTCATTTCACGACCTCTCATCAACTGTATACGGCCTAAAATTACAATTACTAAAATAACTATAAACAATTGTTTAACATTCTTCGGTTTGTGAAATTGGATGAATATTTAAAAGGGAACCGAAAATGCCATAATCATGAGAAGAATAAGATTGATGCATATTTACGTGTAAGAAAGTAGCGGTGCAGAGTGTAGAATAGGTGAAGTAACAGTTACTAGTGGTCATAATACAGGTTAGAGAAGTTATGCAAAAGTAATGAAATTGATAATTGATTATACAGTCATTCAACATGATAAGATACAAAGTCAAATTAATATGTGACCGTTCATAAAGCTGTGTGAAAAATCCCTCAGAATAGAAACCAGTGGAGATCATGTGGTAATTTTTGTTTACTTTCTTTTACAAGTGAGAAACCTCTGTAACAGAAAGAATTTTTTATAATTGTACCTTACTCTGCAGAACTGCCTCTTCCATTATTCATTCGATTCATTCACTTACTTGTGTTCATTTAATCAGACTTTTTTTTAATTCTGACTCAATCTAACGCTTCATGATTTCGTCCACTTATTTAATAGGCACACACTTATTTTGGTCCCCATATGTACCAATATTTACGTGTTGAAATAAATAAATAGTTTTCGATTTCATTGCCACTGACAAGAGACGACTCTGGTTGCAAAATGGTTACCTAAGGTTAGAGAGCGTCAACAATAAAAACACACTGGTATTCACAACTATATATATATATATATATATATATATATATATATATATATATATATTACTTGATGCAAAATATTGTATAGACATCCAAGAGGTACTTTAGTACAAGCATTGATGAAAAACCATGTTGGCGTTTTTTTCTAGCAAGCTTGCCAACCAGTATATACACATATTACTTACGCCTGTTACTCCCAATGGAGCATAGGCCGACGACCAGCATTCTCCAACCCACTCTGTCCTGGACCGTCCTTTCTAGTTCGATCCAATTGTTGTTCATCCTTCTCATGTCTGTCTCCATTTCTCGGCGTAATGTTTTTTGGTCATCCTCTTCTCCTTTGGCCTTGAGGATTCCATGTGGGGGCCTGCCTTGTGTCGCAGTTAGGTGTTTTTTAATGTGCGTCCTATACACTTCCAGACCTTCTCCATTTTTTCCTCCTCCTCTGGAATCTGATCTGTTCTCTCCCACAGTAGGTTGTTGTTGATAGTGCCTGGCTAACGGATCCGAAGTATTTTGCGTAGACAAGTGTCAATAAACACTTGTATCTTCTGGATAATGGCTTTTGTAGTTCTTCAAGTTTCCGCCCCATACAGTAGAACTGTCTTGACATTTGTATTGAAAATTCTGAACTTGGTGTTGGTTGACAGTTGTTTTGAGTTCCAGATGTCCTTCAGTTGGAGATATGCTGCTCTTGCTTTGCCGATCCGCGCCTTCACATCTGCATCAGATCCACCGTGTTCATCAATGATGCTGTCCAGATATGTAAAGATTTTTACATCTTACAAGGCTTCTCCGTCAAGTGTGATTCGACTGGTGCATGCTGTGTTGTATCGGAGAATCTTGCTTTTCCCTTTGTGTATGTTGAGACCTACTGCTGCTGAAGTTGCTGCTAGACTGGTAAACTCCTGTATTTGTTTTTGTGCGTGCGATAGAAGAACCAGATCATCTGCGAAGTCTAGATCGACCAGTTGCACCCTAATTGTCCACTGTATCCCATACTTCTCCCCAGATGTTGACATCTTCATGATTCAGTCGGTCAACAGGAGAAAGAGAAAGGGTGAGAGTAAGCAACCTTGCCTGACACCGGTCTTTAATTCGAACGAGTCTGTCAACTGTCCTCCATGCACGATTTTGCAGTTTAATCTATCATATGAATTCTGTATGATATTGACTATCTTCTCAGGTACGCCGTAGTTTCGAAAAAGCTTCCATAGTGTTGTTCTGTCTACGCTATCAAATGCCTTTTCGTAATCAATAAAGTTGATGTAGAGTGATGAATTCCATTCAATTGATTGTTCCACAATGATCCGTAGAGTTGCGATTTGGTCTGTACACGATCTATCCTTACGGAATCCTGCCTGTTGGTCTCGAAGTTGGGTGTCTGCGGAATCCTTCATTCTGTTTAACAATACCCTGTTGAAGACTTTTCCTGGTATTAAGAGAAGAGTGGTGCCTCTGTAGTTATCACAGTTGCTGAGATCGCCTTTCTTTGGTATTTTGATCAGAAGTCCTTCTTTCCAGTCTGTTGGTACTTGTCCCTCATCCTAAATCTTGCTGATGAGAATGTGGAGTATCTTTGCAGTTACTGCTACGTCTGCTTTCAGTGCTCTCCTGGAATGTTGACTGGTCCTGCTGCTTTACCGCTCTTGATTTGTCTGATTTATTTATTTATTTCAACACATAGATATTGGTACAAAGAGTCACCAAATACATATGCGCTACACAAATCTCATTCGATATGTGTGAGGGCTGTGATGCTGCCCGGGTGCCCAGACTGAAACAGGTGGTTTTCTTAGGGGGCCACACCCCAAGCCTTCGACCTGAAGGTCTGATCCACAAGGTAGTGGAGCATCGTAAGGAGATGCAGTCCCATGGAAGCCGGTGACCAACAATTGGTTCATACGCCATTTGTTCCCGCAGGATACTGGAGCCCATGTGCACCATTGGTTTGGGATCCGGTTAAAGCGCCGGACATTCGCTTTTCGTCCTCTCATTTTCGTAAACAACATCCCCGCCACAAGAAGGCATTGAGTAGGACTTCCCTGGCAGAGGCTATATACGCGAGGCCGTGTGAGAGCATTTCGAGAGGGAGAGCGAACTCTCGCCACTCTCGACCGTACAAGGGCATTTGGGGGTGGCCATGCTGATCTCTTAAATTGTCGGTGGGCCAACATCGATTGGGAGGTCCGTAGGTGCTACTTCGTGGGTTCAGTGGGGCTGGTCGATTCAAGAGTTCTTTGAAGTGTTCTACCCACCTGTTCCATTGTTCTTTAAGGTTGGTGATTACTTTGCCCTACTTGCATTTCACTGGCCGTTCTGATTTATGATAATTTCCGGCGAGCTTCTTTGTTCTATCATACAATTGTCTCATGTCTCTTTCTCTTGCAGTTTTTTTCGCCGTCGTTGTTAGGTCTCCCACATATTTACATTTGTCGGTTTTGATGCTCCTCTTCACTTGTTTGTTTACTTCTGTGTATTCAGCTTGAGCCTTAGCTTTCTCTGCTCATGTTTGACTGGTATTGATTGCTGCTTTCTTGTTCTTCCTTTCTTGAATCTTTTCCAGTGTGTTAAAAGTGATCCATTCCTTGTGATGGTGCTTCTTGTGGCCCAGAACCTCATGACATGTTGAAGTGATTGCCCCCTTGATTTCTTTCCATTTGCTCTCCATAGTAGTTCCCTTTCCATTGAGTAGGTCGTGAAAGGCCTGTAACCTATCGCCGAGTGCTATCTAGAATTCGTTAAGTTTGTCAGTATCTCAAAGAAAGGCCATATTAAACTCTTGTGATTCTGTCTGTCCCACTGTTCAGTGCTTCTTGATTTTCAAATTTATCTCGGTGATCAGCAAGTGATGAACTGAGGCTATGTCAGCTCCCCTCTTGTTTTTCATATCTTTTATCGTCTTCCTGAACTTTTTATTGATGGAGATATGGTCGATTTGGTTCTTTGTAGTGTGATCCGGTGAAATCCATGTGGCTTTGTGCATGAGTTTATGTGGCATATTGTGCCACCTATGACCATTTCGCAAATCTCTCACCATTTTCGATCCTTTCTCCGGTATTCTCCGTTCCAACCTTGGCGTTCTTCATTGGGCATCGCTCAACTATTGACTACAGCCCATCGTAGAATTGATCTTTGACGTCTTCATTGTAGTCGTTGGTTGGCGGATAGTATTGAATGACGTTCATTGAAATGCCCTCTTTCTCTGTGTTGAAGAAAACCTTGGTGATCCTGAGTCCATGAGATTCCCATCCTATAAGTGCTTTTTGTGTTTCTTTGGACAGCATCAGTGCAACTCCTTGTGTACGTGGAGCATTTTCTTCTTCATGGCCGGAGTATAACAGCAGCTCTACTGAAGCTAATCTTTGTTGTCCAACCTGCGCCCAATATGTTTCACTGATTCCAAGTACCTCCAGGTTGTATTTTTTCATTTCTGCAGCAACTTAGATGACTCTCCCGGTCTCCCGCATTGCACGAACATTCCATGTACCTAAACTAGTGGTTTTTTATGGTTTTTAGAAGAGGCATCAGCCTAGTGACTTTCGAAGGAACTCGGCTTTCACCATGAGGCGTCATAACTCATATAAATGAAGACTTCCTAACTCCTAGTGCAGAGTTTAAATGGTTTGAATCATTTTTCTGGTTAGCGTTTTAGCGATATATATATATATATATATATATATATATATATATATATATCTTAAGGACATGATTGTTCATCAGTGTTTGCATTAAAGTACCGCTTGGATGTATGTACTATATTTTGTACCACGTAATCTAAAAAATACTCACTTGTAATACTCCCCATAACAAGTAGGACGATTGTAGACCAAAAAAGCAAAATGCCAATAATATATAGTATTGTTTCGAAGTCCTGCTAGAGGTACTACGATTGAAATGTAGATAGGAATCGATGCATTCCAAACATGTCAGCTTTGAATGCAGTCCGTGTGGCGTTGCAGACATAAATATCGGGATCGGTAGATCCACCTCATTCTGAACGTGTTCTATAGAATAAACGTCAGGTACGAAACATATGTACATTGCTTTTGCATGCCAAGAACTCGTGCTGTCTGTGAAAAGTATGAAAATACAGAAAGTTACTTGTTTACAAGAATTTGAAAGACAAAGCTTGTACTACTAGCAGATAAACCGCTTTAAAATCCCATTTTGAATTAATTATCGTTCAGAACAGATAAAATAGGCCTGAATTCAGTTTCAGTTTCAGTTTCAGTTTGGGAAGGACAGGAGGCTCGACGGCCTAATTCAAAGTAAAACTTTTCAATCACTTTGGAGATTATGATTTACTGGCCAGCACGAACATAATTTGACTATGTTTTAAAAACCATGTGGACAGTAGGTTATTGAAAATGTCTTTAGCATAACCAAGTTGTTTAAACGTAGTTAGCTCCCCATTTGAAATTTCATGCATTAATTAGTTAACCCTGTGAGTAGAACTCAATGATAAAACTATAAAACTAATAATCAACTGAAGACCATGATAGTAATTACTGATCTTATAATACGTATATTTACTAAATTTGAGTATGTTTTCAGATTCGAGATTAGATAATGAATACGACAAATTAAAACGATAGAAACATTCACAATATCAAGTGTGTCAAACATTAAATTCTACCACATGTATATATAACTATTCATGAGGATATAATAAACCACTACAACTAAAACGAACATTAGTAAATTCATAAGTTACTTTGAGTTAAGAAAAATTACCGTTGGAAATGTGCAATTTGTATCTGTTCCTGAAGTAGTTACTCAGCAAAACAAACGGGATTACAACCGATGAATATAATGATAAAATTCCAAACAACTCCAAAGACCATGAGAAATAGCTGTACATAGACGAATATTCCTCCATAACAGAATACAAACTTCAAATAAAACGCTTCCTTGGTTAATGTATTTTATAAAATCTTCAGAAACTGAATTATGATAGGAAACAAAATAGTAGTTCGAAATTTTAGTTTTATAGTTATTTAGTACTTTTAGTTATTAAACACTTGTTACAAGTGCTGATACATAAACAAGCACTCGTGTTGAATACTTTTTTTCAATTATTGAACATAGGGTGCATTAAAAGGTGTCTTTTACAGTACATTTGAAATAAGTAACCTAAAATATATATCATGTAAACTAAGCGTAAAATAAGTTGATAAATGCACGCCAGCAACCCATTATTCTTGTTTTTTAAGCGATAGTCAAAAATATAAAAACAGAACTTTACACAAAGTTACTCAATTTAACAAGAGTGAGATGAATCCCAAACAATGCTACATTTTCGCCGTGAATATTCGGAATCCGTAAAATTAATCAGTCCTCTAAATGAGATTATATCAAACATATATTTGACATCATTCAGGAGAGTGATTAGAAGGTCAACTCATGAAGCCGGTATTCTTGGTGATCAATACTGGTTGTTTTGGCTTCATATGACCAAAGGAGCAAGAAAATTTCCGTGACATTATTTGTCTGTATCTATATATCTGCACAAGCATAAACATCTACATTGATAAGATCAAGTGTTACCCTGAAAGGATAGATAATAGCGTGTATGAAAAGCCTCAAAGATCGTATGTTCAAAAAACTACTGAAAGACATATAACTAACCATAAGAAACTTGAAGATGCAACACTGGATCTCAGTGATGTGATAGACGGCTAGGATGTGCTGAAATTCTCAATTCACAGGTGGATATTGAAACCATTATCTAAATGGAACATGATGGATATTGATGAATGAGTATTACTGAGATAAACTAGTATTTTATCCCAACTAAAACAAAACATATATTACATACGGGAGACTGGAAAGTACCAGATAACCCAATGATTACATAAAAGATTCACTACTAAATTATGAGCCGCGCGTTTCAGGACAATGGGAATCTATATTTACTGATGGTGCTCGAGCCTGTAAGCCCGTAATAGAAAATTGGATTACAAATTACGAGTGGTCTGTGTTGTGGATAAACCTTTTAAGTTATTAGCACACAGCCAAAGCTCAGTAAGAACTACGGGGTAAATAGAACTTATAAGTAATTATTTTCTCCTTAAGTAACCGCAGCACAACTTTCGAATAAATCGATGGTCATAAATGAAATCATCGGGCTTCAATAAATACTATTTGTAGCCCAGTAAATTTCTTTCGGTACCTGAAGGTAAATATTATTCATACAATTAGGTTACAGGAATAGTCGCATTTTATTAACTATTCAAAAGAAAATTCTCCAATTTTAAGAGTTTATTTCCGACTTCTCTAAAATGCACGAATTAAGTTGAGATACAGAATAAAAAGTAAACTAAGTTAGCATCACTACTCATGACATAGGATAATGAAGGTAACAAGATGAAAACAGACTTGAGATACGTAAGAACTCAACATTACTAAACCTTAATACAGAAAAATAGCTTATAACAACAACAAGATGGTGGAGTGATGTGGGAAAAATGCGTCACGGGCGGTAGAGATTACTCACATATCACACTTCCGTCTTGTTTTAAATGTGATTCTTTGTTCGATTTCTTCAGTGGCTTTACGATGCAAATCGTTTAGGCTGTACCCATAAACCGTTTGAACAAGGTGACAACCAACAGAAAAACGTGAAGATAACGGACTTACGAACAAGCATCAGTGACAAAATTTATCAACAAACGATGCCTAATACGTTGCAGTTTACTGAATTTAGTTCTTCATTGTGATTTATTTTATTGGTCATTGGTTAATGAGGAGAATGAGCATCGAAGTCAGTTTGAGTAATTCTTAATTTCGTTGAAGATTCGAGTTTTTTCGAAGGCAGTTGTAACCATATGTATTGTTAATCGGATAATCACAGATAGTCCCAATAGTCTCTATGGCACAACAGACATAAACAACAATGGGGATAAATTTTTCCAAGACTGGGATGTTAAACATATTTATTATGTTCGTACACATGTGTACATGATGTCAACGTGTAGTCAAAGGGACACTAACCAAATAAGAAACCAAACTTTTACCTTTTCCCGATTTCGCCCGAAATTTTCCAGATGAGGTTGAATGTACCAGAATCACCATTTTTATCCTTCCCAAAATGTCCGCTTTTTCCCAAAATTGATAGCTATTTTTTACGTTTCCTCTAAACTAACACCGATTAGTCTACTTTTCTGTAATATTAGCACGCAAAGTGGTAAGTTTATCGCCAAAGTTAACGTACTGTACCAGTGTATTATTAGAACGTTTGCCCTTAATTCCTACGAAAAACCACATTGTTTGTACACCCAACGCAACTAAAAGTAGTGATTTATATGAAAACAGTTTTTGCATGAACAGTTGTCAGTAACCCAAGATGCCAACTTTAGGGAAAATTTGGTCCATTTTGGGGAAGCCGCTATAGTAAATTTTGGGGAAATGAGATGTAAACCCCGAAATTTCCCCAAAGTTGGGAGCTTGGGAATATTTAATCTACTGAAGGACCATGGGCGCCTCCATATAGGAGCCCAAATATGTGAAACACGGAGGGAGACAGGAAAATAATGCGTTTCAGTGCAAAGTTCTTTCCCGACTTCTTGAGGAAATACTAGGTTTCTCTCGGGAATTTGCTTGGATCGATCCAGACCATGAGGAATTCACAGACTCGAAAACTATTAAAGATCATAAGAGAAAGCCAGATAAGTAATGAACAAGCTACAAATATAAGATAATACATTCAAATGTATTTTGACTAGAAAATACACAAAGTGCTAACCAAGAAAGTTTAGCCAGTGTAGCGCGAAAAATTATAATGCGTTTTAGATGAGTAGGGAATTTCCATGCTCAATTAAACAGTAACATGTGAATCAATCTTCACATTAGATACTACCTCTATTAAAATGAATTGCGATAATGGATGATTATATGTCTGGATATCAAACATATTCAGATTGTTGAATTTCTTTGCTTTTGGATAGTAATCCTAACGAACAGTTGAGGAAATATGTCTGCCATAGTTGTGGATAGTCTAGTCGTGCTGGATTCTGAATAATTTCGAGTACAGAAAGAGCATTCATCTTCGACTAACGAGTTATTCTCTTTTCATCTCTTTCTTGTTCGTTTCAAATTGTTAAAATGGTTGTGGACGGAATAGGAGAAGCTTTCACTTAACAAACTTCCGTGTCCTATATCGGTGGATTACAAATACCTCCAAGCAGGTAAGGCATAGTAAAATATTACCCTTTATTCCTCAAGAATATGTCAAGTTTACTCTTAGAGGACTACTGGGAAGTTGCTTGAACTATCTCAGTCGTCAGTGAATTCCAGCATTTGGAGTAGAAGTTTTCTCTACAGTTCATTCTGCTGAAATTTCATGCATTTGGTTCCCTTTATGAATTTAAATAGAGCAAGAACATATATTGATGCAGAATAGTATGAATTCATAGTATTTCGAGGTTTTTCGTCAGCTGCTTACAAACCAAAATTGTGATAGAATTTTTTACATGACTATCTTAACCACCCAACCTGAATTAACCTTTTTTGACCTCTGACCTGTTTCTAGCATATATATAGTTATTATTGTAATCCAGTTATCTACACTCATTTATGTCAATTGTTTCACACTATCTACATGTAAAAAATTCTATAACAATTTTGGTTTGTAAGCAGCTGACGATAAACCTCGAAATAATATGAATTCATACTATTCTGCATCAATGTTTGTTCTCATTCTGCTGAGTTGTGTCCAAGGTTTCTGGGAATTACCCCTCAAGCTTGTATTGGGGCTAAAGGAATGTTCAGAAGTGTTAAGGATGCTGTGTGTCTGTAATATAACGGGTAAAAGTTTTAGTGATTGGAATCGCCCTTTATAAGGCTAGAATTTCATTCGCGAACTGATTTCGTGTCTCACCATTGGATACGTTCTAGAATGTCTTTATCTTTTGGATTAAGGGAGGAAATACTGTGTTTCCGTACTCTAAATGGGGACAAATGAAACTGTTGAAAATTATGTGTTACCAGTGCAAAGTTTGCTCGAAAGGCATTTTTGTTACAGCGTAAGACATCAAATCTTGGGGTGACAAAACTAAATCTTTTTCAACTTGGGATACTTTTAGAGGGGAGTCGCCCGAGTGAAGGCTGTAGTCTGCAACATCTTTAAGATGAACCATTTCACTCGTTGAAGTGTTAGAGGTTAGTTCTTTATCATCTGCCCAACTTCGAGGTCAAGTCAGATCCTCCAGAAGTGCCAGCATATCCTCTTGGCTGAGTATCTCTCTCCCAAGTTTCACATCATCAGCAAAAAGCAATAAGTGTAAGGTTCATTTTGAATTAGTGAGTGTGAAAATCCCTCCATGTATACACTCGCAGTTTGTTCTTATAGATTCATTTAATTGTACATTTTGTTAGTTTTTTAATTCCATTTGCGTTGGTAGTATTTGTATTTTATTATATTTTTTTGTTTTTCTTACGCCTTCACTAAGTTTCTATGTTTCTTCGTTAACTTCATTTACGTTGTTTTACTTGATACATAGTCTTGGTGGCAGCCATATTGGTTCGTTCCTCCTTTTAATTGTGTTGCCTGTATTGACTGGAATTGTGCATTTTTGATCGTGAATTGAAGCACTCCTCATGAATAAGAAACAATCTGTGTTATAAAGCAGACAAATATTATCTCTCTAATGAATCTGTGCGTGGTCTATCCAGGCAGGATAGGATAACATTTACTCGTTGTGATTGGTGATTTTCTCGTATTCAAAATTATAAAGGTTAAAACACTCAAGCCTCTCGCCTTGCATCTCTTTGCTTTTGTGTCTGATAATATTCAAGCTTGATCCTGTTATGCAGAAGACCTGTAATATAGTCATGTCTCGGTCGGTATTAGATCCCAAAATTCTAGATTTGTCATGATTAGGCCACCCAATCTATACAGTCTTTCGTGGAAGTCACATTATTGTCTACACTGACTCATTCCATCGTGACAGTCAGAAATATGGTGCCTAGGACTTCTAACGAACACATTCAAAGGATAGAACGATGCACTTAGTATCGAAGAAAAGACGTCATGTGGGATGGCTACACCTTCACAGTCGACATATGCCACATCGACTATGTGACCCCAACATCTGTGAACTATTCTCCTTGATAAATATTGAATGCTTATCTTAGTTATCGTATGTTTGACTCCAAGGATCGCGTGGTTGGTGACCGAAAGCACTGCAGGCACATGTGTGAAGTTCTTCGCAGCAGTGCCGCGCTAGCTCAACAGACACGTTACGCCTAGTATATTTACTATTGATGTTTTTATGTGGGTACAATCAACCATCCGTAAGATTTTCCCACCGGCATGCATTGATGGCAACTTTAGCCAGTGCGTATAACTGTTATACGTCACTTATGAGGTCACAAAAGCGCACCATATCGTACAGAGGTTAGCGACCCTGTCTTCTCAAGACCCAATCTTCAATCTACGGGTTGAAAATGGAAAACCGATCATCACATACGGTTAGAGATACATTTATCTTGACATGGTTTACACTAAACCATTCACCGGATCTTGATTTTTGTAACTGTATCAATCACGATCATTGTCGATACAATGCAATAATCTACCAGTCAACCAAACTAGTATAGGTTAGTGTGCGGAAATACTAAATCATCTATTTGTAGAGTTTCACTTTCCCATTGTCGATATCGTCCAATCAAAATATTATATATATATATATATATATATATATATATATATATTATCGATGAGCACTTCCAACCGGTATTGAACTAGTATTCTGAACTATACAAAACAAGACCGCGATTTTCGTGTGCGATCAGCAATGTTACACACTACATCATAACAAAAAAACCATCTATATTCACGTCGACCGACTACTCAGAAGACATAACTAGCCAAAAATGAATTCTATCACATAATGAATTTAAGTATGAGACAGTCATCAGGTAACCCATGGGCATCTCTTCTGTATATGGTCAAAAAGGAATAGTAACAGCTGGGGCCTTAGTAGCTATTATCAGTGACTTCATGCCGAAAGCTACGTTCAGTCCTTACCTGTTTTCTCATCTTCACGATCTAACGGCTGCTTCAAATAGTGCAAACGTGTTTTCAATAGCTTGACTTAGTTGAGGCATACTACAAAACCCTTATGAATGCAAACCACGCTCCTAAAACTGCTGTCATTACTCTTTTCAAACTCCATGAGTTTTTGAGTAAACTTGTTGTGGCACTGGGCCCTAATCACACAATCCTCAAAGCCGAACACGAAACGATTGGGAAAATAGATACTCAACGTTTAACACAGGGAAAAACCCAACACTGGAGGAGGCGAGTAGACTCCTTGTCCCGAATAACTTGCTATGATAATTATAAGTATTCGAATTATTATATAAACCAGAAATCCCTGAAAAAAAACTCAATTCATGTCCGATAGAACTAGGTGAGCACAAACGAACGTATTGTATTTGGAATTCATAATCAGGCGCACATCGAGTACAAGAGAATCACTAATTCACACAGACACCACACTTCTTTGAACGATCCGCTCGGGACCGACTTTTGTAAAGTCGCCCAACTTTCAAAATGGGTACCCAAACCCATTACGAATTATCTTCAATAACTTTGAAATCACAAATCAAAAATATGGTGAAATGTGTGGACATTTTACTACGTGACACATCCACAGGTGAGGATCGTTCATTCGTGCCGAAACATTGCCGATAAAATTCATTGATACGCTGCAACTATCAAGCTCATCGGAGGACGATTTCGCTGGTCTGGTATGAAAAAACGAGTGGGAGACTTGGCACACTCCCGTTCAAGCTGACAGAAATCTGAGTCAAAAAGGAAAATGTTCTTTAAGTTATTCGATAACTTTGGACGCTTCCTTCAGTCATGTTTATCTTGATCAGGTAGTATCTTCATCGGAATAAAATATCTACGCCTGTCAAGTAATGTAGACGGATTCATACGATTAACGGCCGGCCACTTACCAATCATAATCCAATGGTTTCGTTTAATGCTTTCACCTATAATTGAAACCTTCACATTCAGCTGAAAATGTGCCACGATTGATTGATACTATTCCACCCGAGTTCCTTAAAATTCGGCCGTCAGTGATTCTGGACACGCAGTAGGCACACACATGAATTACACAACACTTTGATCTCCAGGAAATTTTGCAGATCCTTCATCTTCTCTAGTGCATGTGCACCAAAACGTCTACAGGAAACATCTCATAAAAGTGAACGTTTTGGAAAAACATGCACCGACTCGAGCATCATAAACGGGTTTTAGTTAAGACCATCCTACTACTTAATATTCGCGTTTTGTAGATAGTGCTGCGTCATGCCGACAGCTTAAGTTGAACCTGAAGATAGCACAGGTATTCAGTGTTTGACAACAATTTTACCAGCAACACCATCTAATATAATTTGTACCCACCAAGAGAAATCAAAAGACAGAGTCGAGGAGATCGGAAGAGTGTATTTGGCGATAACCAATATATCAGAATTACCTGATCTAATCTGGCTAGCGATTGCGGTAGATGTTGAGCACAGCGTTACCACACGTGATTTGGTGCGGATGCATGACCTGGCGCCTCCAGCTAGGTGAGTCCACTAAAACTAATCTGGTCAGCATCCAATGTCGAAAACTTACAGAGCTATTTATTTTGGGGATTTATTTAATGCTACAAATCACTCCTCCCCTAGTCAGGTAGTGAAGACCCTCAGACGTGGCCAGCCAGAAGTTTAAACCCAACGAGTTTGTCGTTTGTGAACACTCTTCTGATAGCTTACTAGGTTTAGCAGCGT